AATCTTTCGATTGCGGTTACCCGTTCACCGCTGCCCGTGGAAGTGACTAAGGTGTAGTCGAAGAACGAAAGCGTGACAATATGCAGAGAACTCAAAGAAAGACATTTCCAATCGTTTCCCACAATGGTAAACGATGTGTAACGCGATAATGGAAATACGAGTCCGCAGTTCTGATTTCCAGGCCCCTTTTTCCTGGTAGCCTTAATAAACTAACATAACATAGTCACACAAATAACAGTATTATAGTATACAGCATTATAGTGCGGATAAGTTGGAAAATACATCCCCTAAAACATGCATTCGTACCTACAGGGTCAAGAATTTATTTAATTTATCAATAATATACTATGACTCAAATTTGCTACTTCATATCAATACTGCGGTTGTTTATGCATTTATGGGAAATTTAAATTTTCAAAAAACTAAAAGTAAGATAGGAATTATTATATTTAGGAGCTGTGACAATCCTCTACAAAACTCCCATTTCATTAATTCTATTAATAAAAATATTAATTTGCATAAATAACTAAGAGATCTTTATTACTCTGTTTACGTTAATAGTAATTTTATAAAATAAACTAATATTTATACGTTGAAGAGGTAACTGCAACTACTAAATTCCAAACACACAATGCTTCGTTTGACTAAAATAAATACTTGCCACAGAAAAATTAATCATTTCAAGGTGACAGTCATTGAATCATTCGAGTATTTATTCGTAGTCACGATTTTTGACGATTCAAGGTTATCTATTTCTCTATAACATGACTATAACTTTTCATTGACATAATGTTATAGCTGACGAAACGGTAAATGCAGTAACATGATACAATAGGACCTTTAAATAACCTTTCACTAAATTACCATCCAGAACCAATTTCAACGAATCCTCGAACAAGAAATACAAAGTCTAGTCTATTACTTTTATATAAATGGTCATTTCACATACACACAATCGAAGTTCTATTGTATCAACACGATCACGCAACATTCAAAGTACGTAAACAATTTCAAAATTTTTAGGAAAATTATATTTTACTTTCCCTCTAAGTCGTGAATGCACGTTGAAATTAGAATTACAAAAATGATTTCGTTCGTTGAAAAAAAATTAGGAAATTGGAAATAATTTTTGTTAACCATTTATAAAAATTGATTTTGGTATTTGAAAAACTCAGGTTCCTTGGAGAGTGAAACCTACTTACAGTCTTCCCCAGAATCATTCTCTTCTTGATCGATCAGGTAATACCCTACATTTTTTTACCATCCTCTGACCAGCTGAATCATCTACTCCCGGTACATGACTTTAAACCTTCCTTACCGATAATTATTGTAACGGTTCTTGTAACCTCTGCATCCCTCTAATCACTCGATTTGACTCGACAATTAGATGATCGCGATATTAGCAAAATGTGGACCGGCCACGAGCGATGTATTCGCGATCCTCGATAACGCGCGGCGCGATCATCGCAACCCACACAGTGTAATAAGATTCGACGAGCTTCTAACGAGAAAATACGTCGAATGTAGTTACGTGGAATTTTAACGCGGTCCGATTACATCTGAGGAAGATCCTCGTTAGGAACAGTTACCGACCTGTATATACGTACCTACATATACATACATATATGTATATACTTTACAACCAAATATCGTAAGACTTTACAGATCCTGGAAGTAATTGAATCGCCACAGAAAACGTCGAGGGCGTCTTTGACTCGTTCTCGCTTGTTAACACAGCAATAATTGCTCGGTAATTGGCTCGAAGAATCTTGTATCATCTAATGTGGAAAGAAACAAACGAAGGAAACGACACCGTTGTGTTTCAAACAACATAGTTCATATTTATTAAGTAAAGTCTCGATCAAATTTCGCGTTTTCGAAACGTTTTTATTCAGAAATAGTTGCGTCTATTTTGCTTCACTCGTTTTTTACGAACGGGGCGATGCTGCCATCTCGTGGCGTGAAATTTAACTCGTTCAATACCTGTGATCCTATAACAGACGGGGCATAGGATACCTCGTATTTTATATCTCGTCTGTGGTGTCACCAAATTCACTGAATTAGTATTGATAGACAAACAGTTGTAGTGTTACGTAAATACATGTGAGTTGACTATGGCAGAGATTAAAATTAATTTCTGAATCTGTCGATAACGTTGCGAATGACACGAAAATGGTAATGGGGTTTCACGACCCCATAAAAATAGGCCGCAAAAATACATTGGATGAAGGATCTACTTCTATGTATAGTTCGTTACGATTAATCGTAAAAGATCATTGCCACGAAGGCGAAATATTCTCAAACGATGTGATTTTCAACGATAAAATGTTATCCACGAAAATAATTACTTTACAGTAATTATTCAATTTATAAATATTATATCGCCGACTTTCACAGTTAGAGTTGTAGGAATGATTGTATTTATTTTATCGAATGTTTGAATATATCGTAATTTTTATAAATATTCCGAAATTTGCAAAAATTAAAGTTCGTTAATTATTTATGCTTTAATAGCATATTCCAATTACGTAGTTTCTACGTTTTCTTACACTTGCATCGAAAATGTATGCAAATTAGAATTACAACAATTTATAAAGACAGATTTATAAGCAGTCAATATAATAAATAATACTCGCGGCTAAAATACAATTAAATATGAACCTTTCCAATTTACCCTTAATGTCTACTGTTACCCATTCCTAAGTATCTATATCGAAAAAGGAAAAAAGTTCATTAACCATTTTCATGGTTCATCTTAACAAGGATCGATTATAAAATTATGTATCAACAAATACTTAATAAATAGATAAAAATATATAAATATTAATATGTATGTTCATTTGTGTTATAATAGGTTAAACGTTACCAATATTCCCTTCGAAAGTCGAGTTGTCTGCCATCTATCATGGTGTCGTTTACGCGGCAATATTCCATGGCGTCGTATTCCAGAGACTGCCACAGAAATAAAATACAAATTAAAGTCAAATGCATTGCAGTAAACGTATCTAATCATAATTAAACAATAATTGATGTACACGATACATAATTTTGTTTGGGGAGATACAATGAATCGACGCTGATTAGATATCGAAGAAAACGCGCGAAACCCGATTCAGTTTTTGTCACAATTCCGACTCAATTTATAGTAGAAAAGTATTAATATTACACGAAAGCAGCGTCACAAAGTAAACGCGAGTAATAATAATGAAAAGATATCAAAAAGTTCAAAATACGTACCTCGTTGGTCGTGAAACGTCGACAGGTCTGAACAGGTTCCGACACGTCTTACCCCGCTAATTTTTACAATAGTAATGGCGACCCCTCGTTGTACCCAGCATCGCTCGCGAATTAGGTGGGAGGGTGGGGGCGCCTCCGATGTTTCCCGAAGCTTTTATTTCGAAAAGGAGTCCTTAACAGAAATAAAATACAAATTGAAGTCAAATGCATTAGAGTAAACATATCTAATAATAATTAAACAATAATTGAACTTGAAATAATATTAACAAGATACGTAATTTCGTTTAGAGAGATATAATGAATCGACGCCGGTTAGATATCGAAGAAGACGTGTGAAATACGATACAGATTTTGTCACAATTTCGACTGAATTTATAGTAGAAATGTATTAATTTTAAACGTAAGCATCGTTAGAAAGTAAACGCGAGTAGTAATAATAAGGAAATAACAGGCTAGAAATAGCTTGGTCGCGAAACGCCGACACGTCTTGCTTCGTTAATTATCAGAGTACGAATGACGACCTCTCGCGGTATCCAGTAACGCTCGCGAATTAGGTAGAGGGGTGGGGGAGACTCTGATGTCTCGCAAAGCTTGTATTTCGGAAAGGAAGGTTGAACTTCGTTCTCAAAACTTTGTTAATTCGCGAAACTAAAGATGCCTCAGGTAAAAACCGCGAATACAAAAAAAAAAAAATACGGAGATACTAGGCCTATGTACTAGAGAACAACGTAAATATCTTGACTTTATTGATAGTTGACGGTACAATGTATAACTTAAATATAACTCATATTTCTGTCGATTTATGGTAGCAGGTGATAAGATTCTTGAATTTATTAACATTATTCACTTCGATGATGACATGTAATTATAATGCACGAAGTCACATTTCTACGTATAGAATGTGTACGCGAGACGACGAACATTTCCATTCGATTATCGATCAAAGAACTTTAATTCTAACCAATTCAAATAAACTGCAATTCTAACAAAAATATCGTGGATATATCGACACTTCCTATTTCGTAGCACTCATCGTATCTAGATTACACGTTTTAAAATAAATATATTTCTTATAAACACTAGTTTAATCGCCAATTAAATATTGTTTACAAATGAACCGAAATACTAACCACGTAAAAATCAGTAGTTTACAGCGTACTCTGTATTTAAGAACAATGACTCTGAGAATCATATTTAACCCGATCATCGATAGTCGGTAACATCAGCTTCTGATGAAATATCGAAAAAAGTTTTTAACAAAAATTATTACGCATTATACGGTCGTATGTCACATGCGACATTATCAATCAAGAAAATATTGTTAAAAAACCAATTGTTTAATTGAAACCAATTAAATTTTGTTCGTGACGTCAGTTGAATTTATGATCAAAAATATATTAATATTAGAATAGAAATAGCGATAAAATATCAACAGATAAATATATAATCAAAAGATATACGCAATATTGAATTCTGCAAAATATTTCAACAATAATAATTTCAAAATTAAAAATAGCAATCAATAATGTAATATTACATTCAGTCACAAGAATTTAGTATTTGCAAACATTCCAACTTTTAAAGATTGCATTGATTATATTGTTTGAAATGGAAGATCATAAGAAAAACATGAAAATGATTTTCACAATGATAGACACGGAATCATTCGTTTATAAATACCGCCTGAATAATATTTTGTCGCTTCACATTGGCTGTGCTGCAGATTCGATGCACAGAATGACGTTGGCTATCTTTCCGGTTTTGATCATTCTTTCACTAAGGCAAGATGGCTGATCAGGTACGTGTTTAACGCTAACAATGCCAATATGTACAGTTTCTTATGTTTAATTAAGTTATTTTCTATATATCACTATCAGTACGAACATTCTTAACGTAATAATTAATAACGGAATGAAAAAATCCGTTTCTTCGGAATGTTTTAAAAACATTATGACTCGTAGTGCAAAGATTGCACGTGGTTAGACCATTCACGTAGTCAATACTTGAATTTAACGACAGGGCACTGTGCCCCGTTATCGTGTATAAAAATGAAAAGTATACAAATACGTTACTGTTTTTATAGACTGAACGTGCGTTTCAAAAACAACCCACGATCTTTCTTAATCGCAAGAAAGGTCTGGGTCCTAAGAGAAGGAAGCCCATGAGATACAGCCGAAATGTTGGGCTTGGATTCAAAACACCTCGTGAAGTAAGTCCCCTTTTATTTATTTAAAAAGTAATATTTACGGAAGGAAAGTACTTACAGTGGAATGTCCATTATTGAAACACAAACACTGTACATTTTAAAACTTGTAACTATAATACATAAACAATTTTTGAACATTCTGCCTATAATTCTATTATCCTAGTTTATTGTTTCACGCATATCAAGTATAAACATATAGTTAAAATTATACATTTTATCTACATTTAATTTAAACTTTTACATTGAATTTAAAAAGAAATAAAAGAATCTCTAGCTTGGTCATGAAATGTTGAAAAGCCAATGATTATTAGAATTAAATGTAGTTATGAATCAAAATTATTGGAATTTTAAAACAAGGTGTTGTAATTGAGGCAATAATATATATGTCCAGGAATTATTAATTCCCTCTTTATAGTACAGTTAACATATGTTCTTTTATACAGTAATCCTACATTTTTTTTAATTATTTTATTTTCTATTATGCTGTGTAGCTGCAACTTTGGTTTTCTTAGATTGATTATTTGAAAAATAAATTATTAAAATAAATTTATTTCCCTATTAGTTTTGATAATCAACATTCTACTGTAATTTCCATTTTAATATAACATTTCAGGCTCTTGAGGGAACATACATTGACAAAAAATGTCCATTTACTGGCAATATTTCCATTAGGGGACGTATTCTCACTGGTGTGGTGCAAAAAATGAAAATGCAACGGACCATTGTTATACGTAGGGATTATCTACATTACATCAGAAAATACAATCGTTTTGAGAAACGTCATCGTAATATGAGTGTACATCTAAGTCCTTGCTTCAGGTTAGCATTATATGATCATTTTATGTAACTTATAAACTCTTTACATTAATGAATATTGAACTGTATGATGATATCAAACGACGGTCTTCTGAAGAACAAATTGAAGTATTATATATTCGTTTCCTGAATAAAAATATGTACATAATACATTTGCAATAAGCAAACATGTTTCTTTATATTTATTATTACTGTTATTTATTACAGGGACGTAGAAATTGGTGATGTAGTCACTATTGGAGAATGCAGACCGCTCAGTAAAACAGTAAGATTTAATGTCTTGAAGGTCTCTAAAGGTACAGGATCAAAGAAGAGTTTTAAAAAGTTCTAAAATCGTGGAAACTCACCCTATGGTGAGTACAACTCCCAATTTCGAATAAACATGCTTAAAAATATTAAATGATGAAATTTACGACGGTCTTCTGAAATGATTAGAGTGAAGGATATATATATCGTATTCTGAATGTAATTATTATTCTTTAAAATATATTTATGATATAAAAACCCAATACTTCATTTGGATATTATTTATTGCAGAAGAATTTGATTTAAATTGGGAAAGGAAGGTACGAAACATTGGATTGATGAAAGTCATAAGAAATATGAATTACCATCTTAATCTGTAACTAATGACATTTAAGATAAATAAAAACATAAAGAACATTTGTACATGAAATTCTTTCAGTTGAACGTGTAAAACCTTACACTCATGCTGTTCTATAAATAATATATAAGTATTAGAGGGTACATTAAGCGAGGCATAACTTAATGTTAAAAAATATATTTTTATAGATTTCAACAAGAAAAAGTCACTATTAAAAGAATATTTTACATAAACTCAAAAAATGATCTATAAGAAGCTTATTGTCAGATTTACATTATTATAAAATATAACTACAGAAGCTGATAGTTAATTCAATTTGTATACTTTTTTGAAGTAATAACAATATTATGGCTACTAAACAGAAATTTATCACAAATAGTACATAATATCAATGTTTATGCTCAGTGCTGTTAGAAAAAAACAAAACGTAATTAATATCACGTAAGACTGAAATCTTATTTTCGAAGTTTAAAAAAGAATAAATATAGTACAAACTTTGGGTACATAAATATAATACTAGTCCAAATGAAAAAAAAGTATTAATAAAAGTGGCTTTAAAAGTTAATAATGTCCGAGTTAGAAAGAAAAATTTGATTTTATCAGTGTCTGAAGTGTCTTCCTTTCATTTTGATTTGAGACATTATCTGTTTGCGATTAGCTCACGTTTAAAAATACGTAAATAACTTATCAAAATAAGTACAAAACTATTAGTAAACTTTGGTCTAGAATTCACTTGTTTACAGATTAAAAGACATACCTATTATAAAATTGTTGACTCAAATGTCCTCTGTTTGTGATTGTATGCCAGTTTCTTGTCGAGAAATAAGAGTGAAACCTGGCATTCTTGAGCGAACTTTACTGAGGATACGTGTCGAGACATGCATTGAAATAGGCGTAAAACACTTCGAACACCTGCGGTGATATAAAATTTTCCTTATGATTTGAAAATTTGATTCGTACAACTATACTCACTAGCACACTTTTACTTATTTTGATGAACACTATGCGTACCCAAAGTTTGCATCGTCAATTTTAGCATATCCTATATTAAGCCTGATGAACTAGAGATCCGCGGGCCATGATTGGCCCTTTTCCCCCACTTCCTTAACCTCCCACTCGATCGCCGAAAAGTCGCGGACCGCGGTGTAGGAATAGTGAGCAGTATAGCCAAGAAATAAGCTAAATGTTATTTTTGAGGAGTGGGGACCGGCAGGATATCGTGGGGCCTTCATTCGTCGCTTGCATTTTTTATAGTGGAGGAATCGGCTAGCTGAAGGGAAAATCGTCTGGCCCGCGGAAAAGTTCGTCAGGCCTGTTCCATATATTTTTTAATTCTTCTGTATAAAATCCTTACAGGTAGCTCAACTGCCAATGAGCATATCTTTGGCAATCCCTGTTTTCGGTTATCATACTCACATAATATTCAGTACAAATACATCAAAGTTTAATAAGATGTATTCACACATGCAATAGCATAAACATTCGCATCTCTTCTATGTAATACTAATGTGTTAAATAGATAATCACAAAGGCACTTTAACTTACATATTATACTATTTAACATTAGCGTCGTTTTGATAAAAATGTACCTTATTTTTACATTCTTCTAGTATAAGAAAATAGTATCTTCAGATCTTTCAGTAAATATCATTTTATGCCAATACTAACAATGTAATGGCAAGTACTGTGCTCCGCTGGCAAAAATTCCTCTGATTGCAATGCAGGAAACTTCTAGTCAGCAGAGCACTGTAGATAGACATTTTCAGTTTATATTTAAAAGTAATCTCACTTATTCGAAAAACGTAGTTTTCTACAGGGACAGGCAAAATGAATTTTAAAAAGTATTCAAATGATGAATACAATAATGCCTCACTAATTCGTTTAGTATTTATTTTGAATTTATTCAATTGTTTATAAAAAATTTGAGGAGCAAACACCACACAAATACCATATACACATGATCTGAAACAGTAATGTATTTTTTATTCATCAATGAAACTGGATGTTTTCTTTAGATGTATTTCAATTATAAAATCATTCAAATGTGCCCATCCCTGTTGCAAACTTTCTGAACCTAATAACTTATTCATTATAATAACAATTAATATATTTTTTAACTAAAGCATTACTAGTGATTAGCAAGTGTCTGATTTTTAGATGAAAATTGAGTTATGTAAAGTATGTATATAATAGGCCCTGCAAAACCTAATAATAGGGAAAATCCAAGGAGCTGGGTCCAAGATAATCCACAATCGTCACCAGAACATTTAAATGTGTCTGTTAAATGAGAGTTGTTTGAATTACTCTCTGTTAAAGTAAGCAGTGTATCACATTCTGAGCTAGTAATTTCTAACAAATTATTACTGTTAAACGACGACAAAGGCTCACACACAGAATTTAATATAATTGTATTAATCTCTGCCTCTGGCAATTCAGTTACTACTGGTTTTTTTATTAAATCTATCAATGAATCGTTGGTGGCTGCATTTGCTGTCTCTCCTTCGGATGATAGTATACTTACATCATTTTGGTCTGCCTGCCCACTTCGAGATTGCTCCAAAGTTTCACTCAATATGGAAAATGGTTGAATAGGTACTTTTATAAAACGCTTTGCAAAAATTTCATTTTCTTTATGAATTTTGTTGATCCTTTTCAATTCAGATATCTGAAAGCATAATGTTTTTATTTGATTTTTATTGCAATTCATGATAATTATTAGGGGTGTGTAAGAACCCGATGGTCGAGACGAATCGGGATGAGGTCAAGTCGAGTCGGGTCGAGCTCCCGATTCTTTTGGGAATCTCGATTATTTCGAGAATCTCGAAACTTTCGAATACCTGTCCCGAACCCGAAAAAATTTCGTGTTCCCGACCCGACTCAATATTTCGGGATCTCGCACACCCCTAATAATTATATACTTTGGCAACATCACCAATTTTAACAACTCGGATCATTACAAGCAAAATGTAATGATCTGGTTCTGTTTTCAAGATAATAAGAAGTTTCAAATAATTAGATATTAAAAATCAAGAGCCAGTAACAATTATTTTTTGCTCCAGAAAATATTTAGTTATCCAGTTTATTCTAAATCTTGTTTATTTTTTTGTCATTACCGTGCATCTATATCGCAGTGCCAAAGCTTGCAAGGTATCCTCAGACTTCAATTGAACATTAATCACTTCCACCTTACGTGGTAAGGATGTAGTCTTAGTACGTGGCTGCAAGGGAATGTTTTCTTCATTTTCACTGTTCTCATCGTCTGAATATAAAAAGACATAATGTGGGGAACCTTCCCTTTGATTTCCACGTTGATAAACCATTTGTCTGGAACAAATTACACATTTTAAATCATCTTTAATATTACACAGATATAAATGCTTTTAAACAGAACATAAAATAATAAATCAACGCGAAGAACGTCAGCTTCGTATAAATAATTTTATGGATGACGTTTAAATATTTGATCTGTCAAATGTCGTTTTACAAATAATTACAGCTGTCAATTACCTTGCACTTTTCGGCCGTTCGTAAATTTCCTTTGTTATTTCTTGTCACTCGTCATACGTATTATTTGAACGTAAATTACATTTATACTGGGTACAGCATCGATCTCGAGTAGAATGCAAGTTCCTTTCACTGTCCATATGTATTGGATCAGATATTCATGATAAAGAAAGGTTAGGTTTTCTTCTACGGAATCAGTGAAACATAATATACACTGCGTCTGCTTGCGTTTGATGCAAGAAATTTTCGTAATAAATTTGCATATTAGTTATTTTCCAAGATGATGCGCTACTCAGAAGAAGGCGAGCAATTGAAAGATAAATCTAGATGTGCCCACATTCGAGCAAACTTAAAAATGTGTTTATTACAGAGTGATTGTTGTAAAATTGTGAGTGGTCATACTATACTTTCGTATCTATCGTAATCTTTATTTGCACTATTACAATGTTTATAAACTTCATATGAATTACGTATGTAATGCTTTAGCGGTCTATATATAAAGATACGACTTTCAATGGGTCCCTTTGATACAATATATTTCGTCAACATAACAGTGCTTTATTTCAGCATAAACATACTCCAAGAGAATGTCTTTTGAAAAAAGATGGAACTGTACCAGATGATTGTTATTTGCTGAAACAAACATTTTTTGAATGCAAACATTCAATTGTAAGTTTCACTAAATGTAAATGTATGGACATGAATGTATTCATCTTTATTTCAATTTTTCAGATTGATGGAAGACGAAGATTTAGAGGACCCAAAGGTAATTAGCGTTACCTCATAGTTTCAGTATATTTTGTATATTCTGAGTTTGTATGATATGATAAATCTATGTCCCCAGTTGTATATTATGCGCTAATCTCTATTTTACATGCTCTGTAAATATAATTACCTTTAAAATATTGAACATACGAACTTTGTTATTTTTTTAATTCAATTTTTATAATAATTGTATATGTGAATATAGAAATTTAATAATTTTGTTATGCTTGAGAAAAATATGACATATTAAATCTATCCTGTTTTTTTTCTTAGCAAACTTTTATTTTTTGATGAACTTTTATTTAATAAAAATGTATTCATTAGATAGATAATCTGTTATAAAATAAAGATATTATGAAGTTGCTGACAGCTTTAATTGTATAGTGATCATATGTCTAGATTACATATTTCATAAATAATAGTTTAATTACAAACAAGGTTTATGGGAGTTACGTCACATAATTGAATATCGTAAAAAATCAGTGATTTTGAAAACTTTAAAATAAAAGAAGTGAAGATAACAAATTAAAATTATGTCAAAATGAAAAATCTTTTAATCCTTACAAAAATAGAAGAAGGGGTTTAAATCATTTTACTATTTTTTAAAGTATTTAAAAATTGTAGATTAACAAAATTTCTATTGATCTATATTTTACTTTTGAAAACGCGCCTTAATTCGAGTATCGAATCTCATGTTCCATACATCGAGATCGAGATATATGTCCACCATCTTGTGGCAGGGCGCCACATGGTGACTTGAAAATGGTGATTGTGCGCGATATGAATTGCCGCTTAGCTGCATTTTTCATTCGTTTTTTCTATTTAAATTTGTGAACAAATAGCATCGGTATTATGCAGATCGAAATTTTCGAAAGCTAATTGACAAACGATTCCATTGTATACACATGTCTTTATCAAAATGTAAATTTCATTTCACGCGATTATCAATATTCGAAGGGGCGGTGTTATCTGATATTTAGCGCGCATGATGACGATAAAATTCGCGAATATGGCACCGCGTTACGAAAGAGTGGTGTTATGTCGCGGTTTGTCAGAAAAGAATGATTCGCAAGAGGTTTACGTGAAAACATTAAAATCTGCCGGTTATACGTGTGACTATTTGCCCACTTTATGTTTCGAGTTCATAAATACATCGGAATTGCGAACATGTCTCCTTTCGCCGAACTCGTATGATGGTAGTAATATTTCTAACGTTCTTGTTCGTTGCAGTTCTGAATTATGTGCATTCCAATATCACCCTGATCCACCGTATATTAATGTTATGTTAATAGGTCTCGTCTTGACAAGTCGACATGCAGTAGAAGCGATTGTACTTTCATCGAAAGAGGACGACAACATTCTACTCCCATGGAGCAAGTTGCCAGTATATTGCGTAGGGCCAGCAACTGAATCTTTTGCTAAAACTCACTTGGGTACTGAAAACTGCTTTGGTAGGGAGACTGGTAATGCTAAAGAACTAGCAGAAAAAATAGTTGCCAATGTCGCAAAAGGATCAAAACCTTTGTTATACCCTTGCAGTGAAATTAGTCGAGAGACAATTGAAAAAACTCTTAATGAAAATGACATACGAGTTTGCAAAATAGTTGCTTATAAAACTTTACCTAATAAGACTTTAGAACAGGATTTGTTGAAATTCATGGATAACTTGCCTAGAATATTTGTTTTCTTTAGCCCTTCTACTGTAGAGCATGTAGTAACTTTATTGAAGAAAAAACTTTACGATATAAATAATATAAAAGCAGTTGCTATCGGGCCTGTGACTAAGCAAGCATTATGCGATGCTGGTTTAGATACTTTTGCTACTGCTGTCAATCCTGATCCAATGTCTTTGTTGAAAGCTATTAGTGATGCTGAAAGAAATGAAGTTAACGAAAACACTGTATGAAGAAATTCAAGAAATGATGTGATATTGGTTTATTGTTGTAAGTATATGAATCTTGTTAACTCATTAAGACTACTTAATCCATTGACATCATGATTGAAAAGAACATTCTTGTTAATACAAAGTTGTTACATTTTGATTTAAAATTAGGTATCACAAGTTTGATTCATTATGGTCTCTATGGATTAAGAGAATTATTTGTTAATGTTTTATCGTGTTGTTTATGTAATTTATTTTGGTAGCGTTTTAAAATAGATCATTAATCTCAACCACTCACTGGGTGGATATTTTCAAGTCTTATTTTTGTTACAACAATAAATATATTGTGTTTTTTAAACATACCGATTTAAAAAATAGCATTAACGTGTATTTACAATACAGCACTACATGAATATAACATAAAATATAACATTGCTTGCAATGTTAAAGAACAATTAAAATACGTTTTCCACAACGTACTAAAATATTGCCCTTTAAAAATAGTACATTTAGACACTGATAAGGTAAAATGGAGTACAGTGTGTAGAGTTGTGCGTGTCAGTCTTTGCTATTAATATCCACAGGATTTCCTAGTACTTCTTAAGAAAGTGTGTGTGAATGATTGTTGGAGAATACTGCATCTTGAAAGCATTTATAATACTTGATATGACTGTGCCTTTTTTTTTTGTTTGATATAACCTCTTCCAGTAGTATTTATAATTTATTAGAAATTTAATATCTACTTCGATTAACAACATTACTGAGAAGGCACGAAATATCTGCTCCAACGATTGTCGATTGATTAGCATAGTAAGGCTGCGGAGGGTTCCCCCCGTTGTTGTATTTCATTTGAACGGCAGTTTCATAATCAGGTGCGGGTCTGTACGATGGAAGTAAGGCACGTAAGTTATTTATGTCTGTAGATGACACGGACACTACAGGGGGATATGGCGATGTAGAAAGGTCATTGTAACTCGTCCATGGGGTGTGTCCTTCCGCGTTTCGGTTATCCAAGTTTACAGACACTGCATGATCTCCTGAGTCGTTTGTGTCGCTATCCTAAAACATAACATAAACATTTTATTTCACCGTGTCTCGCAACAATCGCGAAACGGCGATACTATCTTCAAAACTATTGGATATATAAGGAGGTTTGTCAAATAAATTCTGTATAGTTTTTAACAGAAAAAATGCATTTCGCGGATGTTCTTTATTAGACAATAAAATAATACTTACGAAATATCCGTTAGCCGAACGTTCCAATGGACGAAATTCTTGATGTTGCATGTAAAATGTGTGCTGTGCTATGCACAGACGCCATACATACTTCGCATTACGCGATTCGTTGAAAATAAATTGCTTTGCATCTTCACTCTCAGCTTGACATTCTATTCTAAACGTCTTTTTGTGATTGATGACATTACTTATGTCTTTCCATCTAGGATACAGATAGTTTTACGTTATATTTATTGATACAAGATTCTGATGTATTATGTGAAATAATTACCTGCAAAACTGTGTTGTCTGTGTGCTTGGATAAACAACCATAATCCCATTGATGGAAATGCCAAGTATTACCTCATTATTACCATTGTCCTGCAAGTCAATTGTTCCGTTCGGTCAACACGGGGTTTCCCGCTCTTTTATGTTGCCAGATGCGGAACCGTGACTTAGTCGAAAAAGTCTTCGAGTATTCCGTATCTGGCAGATTTCGTCGTAAACTTATGAAGCGCTTTGTCGAACCGAAAACGCTAAACCCGAGTTGACCAGCGAAGGGCTATATCGTTCCGCGACCATCGCCAACTTGTGGAACAATACAGTCATAAAACAGCTGCAAACCCGTTTTTTCCTCGGCAAAATTAACGCAACCTTCGACTTGGGGAGGAAACCTCGTCCAGGGTACCCTAAGACTCTTCCTCCACCACATTCGGGTGTGAGGAAGGAGTTTCCCGCTCAAACGGGGCATGAAAATGGGTCCTCTTTCTCCAAGTCGATGGCCAATCTATCGAGCTAAAAGTCAACACGAAAATCGGTTGACTCCTCCAAAATCGCGTGTCGGAGGGGGTTAGGTCTGAGGAAGAAACGGGCTTCGGAAACATCGAACATTCTTCGTTCGATCACCAAAGCAATCGTGCTTTATTCTTCGTTCAATAGTCGAAGTCAGACGTATCGACTTATTCGATAAATCGTTCAATCGTAGTTTACTCGTGAACTCGTCGTTCAATCGCCAAGTCCAAGGTTTCGTATAAAGGACTTCGTAAAATCGTTAACGCATCATAGAAAATCATAGCTTCCGTAAATAGACAAACGCGACATCGTTTCGGTTGCGACTTAATTTGAATAAGTTACTCAATATTAATTTGGCGAGTGACAGCTAAGAGACACGCGCACTACAACGGTTACTGGGCCTTACAACACCAGGAGAATTTAAAAATACTCGACGCGACGGTATGTTTCATCAATTGTTGCAAATCATTGATATTGTTATGTTAAGATGTTAATGTTTTACCTTAGTAGAAAATGTTTCATTCCCATAACCCTCTAACTGCATAACAATAGAAATATATAATTCCTCCGATGCAGCTTGAGTAACACCAATTAGATTCTTATATTGGCATACAGCAGTATGCAAAAGAGAATCTAAACCCCCGGGATCTGCCTGAATGACATCCTAATGGAAAAGAATAAAATAAAAAATGAATTAAATGAATCTAATTAAGATTTTCTTAATATTTCCTTAACTACCTTAGGAAATAGTGTACACTGTTGTAAGCATTCCATTGTGTGCCTTTCAGCATCGTAATTACCAAATTCTGCTTGCATCGAATAACTTGCTAAAAGGGTAGCTTGTCTAGAATTGCAATGAAATCTACCTTCCAGTACATCACTTTTCAACTGAAGGTAGTAATGATACCTAAAAATAGGATACTTGAAAATTAATTAAAAATAATGAGATTTCAGAGTATCTACCTTGTCATTTCATCTTGAATAAGTTGCACATCTGTTACATAGTACATAACTCTCAAATAGAGACTGAAATTTTTTGCCTCTTTCTCGAGCTGTTTCTTTAATGGTTTGTCTACATCCACCCATCTTGGAGATGGAGAATCGTGTCTAGATATATAACGTAGGCCAAAGAATTCTGGTTGTCCCAATCCTAAACGTTGAGTGACATTGTCCAAGCATTCTTGTCCAAGACTGTCAATACTAAGTGTACACTCTATGGTAGTTGTGTCTAATAGCTCAACACAAATCACATACTGGTTTTTTGAAACCACATTATACTGCCGACTTTTTTTTAAATGAAATTTAAACGGCATTTTACCTACGCGGTTGACTGAAAATTAATATGAAATTACACAAAATTGTTTTAACAAAGTCAACTTGTTTTATATTTTTGTCACTGGTACGTCATATCAAAGTACAGTAGTCCGAATATCTTAAAATAAACAATTTCACAGAGTACGGTAGTCTAACAATGATGGAATAATAGTGAAATAATTACAACACTGTTATAATAAAGGAGTAAAGCAGGTACAATAATCGTCTGAAAAATTTAAATATCGTATCGCTACGAACAAACACCAAAATATTTCACATTCCATGATACTTTTACTTTTAATTGAAATATATGTGCATACAGGTACTATGTACATTCCACTCTGTTAAGCATGAAAAATGTATTATTTTTCCCGATTAACAAATCGAAAGCATTTCTAACCTCGTTTTTCACGTCATTAAATCTAGTTACAATTTTGCGGGACACAGTTCTTCCACTAACCGTCGTAAAAAATTAAAACTAAAATGAAATGAAAAATAACTGTAGAGAAACCATAGAAAAACTAGATTAATTATTTGATATGCATAAGGAGAACATATTAATACGATTATAAATACAATTAAAGTCTGCTTCACTGGAATTCCAGTATTTTTTTTAAAAGCTTTTTCGCAACATACAATATATCTTTTTTACAATTGCATAAAATTAATTATTGATATGTACATTCTGACAAAGTCAATGACATTCGAGTTCATATTCCTGTATTAGTAAAGAATTAGAAGTGTCAAATATAATTAAATGACACTATTAAACACAGTTATTGAAAAAATTCCCTAGACGCATTTTTATCGATGTTATTTAAATTCTTTGGACGTATTATGTAGGATGACTAACAGTCTTATCAAGATTGATTGCATGCCATTTAACGTAAATTCTGTTATCGTGTTTTATCGAAAACATAACAAATTTCGGGATAACTTCTGTGATGTGTACGAAATCGAAATTGCTAGATATTTCGCGTCTTCCCTATGTTACATACTTGGCAGCAAACTTTAAAGCCTTTGATTATAAAAGAACAATTCTCATACCTTAAGTTTCACGAATAAAACTAACAAGACAAATAACTGAATACCTGATATTCAATATAATAAATATATTTCGTAACAATAAATAAATTACGATTTTAGTACACGCACTAATACAACATACGTCTTAAACAATGCAACATTTAACATCTTATTAATTAAACGAATCTCTGTGTGTCCATTCTAAATCGAGTAAAATTGTGTGGCTGTAGAAGACTGCATTTCTATTTGGCCCATCTTAAATTGCAGTCGATGCAACCATCGCAAAAGCGTGGCATTAGATTCACGACGGGATGAGGCGAAATGCTCCGTCATCTTGTTCGGTGGAAAGTCTCGACAATTTTGCAAACGCACTTGCAGATGCCCTGGTAGCTGAACATAAAAATGTCTTTCGTTAAAACTAGTTTTATTCCGATAGTTATCTTAAATAAATATTTAAAGAAATTATATCAGAACCTGAACGTGACGCGAATACAAAATGGGGCTCCAGAGTGGTAGTAATTTGCTCAGCAAAATGGACCCGCACTCGAGAAGTGCTTCCAATAAACTTAAGAAATGCAAGTTAACCATCTCAGCCAGCTACAAATACAAATTTTTCATTCATAATCGTTATTGAATACACATTTTTTAAACTAAATACTTAGTATGAACTTAGTGTGAAGGTTCAAAAATATACTTTTATATATAGTATACTCTATTTATGTAGCAAACTACTTACGACTCTCGAACACCCAACCAGTTGCAGTATGCAAGGCGTTATCTTGCCCCAAAACTCCAGCAATATGTTCATCGTGATATTATGTCCCTCGCTGTTCGATGGATTATTTTTCGACAGCTCTTCCAGATACATAGTCCACAACTGAACAGATAATTATGATACTCTTCGTGTAAAAAAAAAGCTAACATGGAGTAAAAGTCATTGTTTTCTGTTACTTTCGTAATAGCGATGTGGACTTACCTGGCAAAGTATAAACGCATGGAACAACGAGGACATGTGCAGAACTGACGCCTTGGATTGTTCAGGGAACCCAGAAAATATCACTTGCACGTGATCCGCAACATGACAGGACACTTCCTGGGGTATTGGTTGTGCCGTCGGGATCGATGGCCCGTGGCTCTGCGTGTTGTTGTTGCCAGCATACATTGCCGTATGTGTGAGAGAGCCCAACAGAAGCCAGGATAGCAGCCTAATGTGCCCTATGCAGTCGACGTACTCGCGAGCACTAAACAGAGGCATCAATTGCTACAGTGTGGCTGTAAACTGAAGCACATTTGAGTCTCAGGCATCAAAACCCCAAGAATGACCTTTGAACACTTTGTCTACCTAATCCAGACCTATTGAAGTAAGTGCACGTTTCATTTTTATCCTTAATGGTATGATTTTCCATATCAATTGAGTGTGCCCATAATACTTAAACCATATACTACAAGAACCATAAAATCGACACGGTACCACGACCTAGACTTAATACAGGATTAGAATTTAATTCTATTTGCGGTTATACTTATTTTACTATAATAGTTTATTTACCCTTGGGGTATCATAGAAGGGGCGCTGTTGAGCCACGGTAGATAACGGAGCACTGCTCTGTTCTCCCTGTTATTGCCCCTCGTAATTTCCAATGCCACGTATTGCGCGAGACCACACTTTAATATACCACCCAACGTGTCCTCGTTCAGTCCTGCCTGCATGCCTTTGCTGTAACTCTAAGCAATCAAAGAAGTTTGTATAATTTAATAATGAATTTCTTCATCATTTCGGTGTCAATAGGCAGAACGTGTATTGATTTGTTAAGCGCAGTATGGCGACGAAATTTTGAAATCGATCTGGCACGAACGGTATAGAATAAGATATAAAAAAATATAATAGTATTTGTGTTTCTCAATTTCGGTTGAGAAACAGGAAAGCACAGACTGTTGCAATCGTTACCTTCACTTTGCTCAGGGTATGAAAATCAGCCAAGAAGTCTAGGACATCTGCCAGCTGGTTCTTCAGGGACTCTGAGGCGTTAGTATTGTAGATCGGCGACATATCCGTGTGAATGTTCTCCAGGGCGATTGTGTTAGGCAACGATCCTCCAATGTCCTAAAGATTTAACGTTTTGGGTGTCAAACTATCGATCTGACTTCTATCGTGCGTTGATACTATCGATTTACCTGAAGCACGAAGTGTAGAAGCAAAAGGAAATTGGAGTCTGGAATGGTGGTCTTGAATTTCATGGCTTGAATCAGTTCGAACACAATCGTCCTGCCGAAGAAGTGCTTGTCCCTGTCGCGGGTAAATCCTCTGTGACAGAGATAGCATAAGTCCGTCAGGTAGCTGTATCGTATCGTGGAGTTTTGTATGGCGTAGCTCAATACTTTGGCGAACGGGTCCAGCATTCCCTGTAAACACGTCCTCGTGCTTTAGTGTTACGATAACTGATACTTAGACTGAGAAATTGAAAGATCTTTAAGATGATCGAGGAATTTTCGTAACGAAACGAACCGTGACCATAAACTTAAAACACGTCGTAAATCTTTTGCAAACGATGTTCAAATGGCTTCTCGTCATCGAGAATGCCTGACTATTATTGTTATTACACCGGATCGGTGTAATATTTTGCAGTATTTAACGTCTTTTCAAAAGCGGCAACGATTGGCGTTATAATGATAATGATGTGCAATTTACGACCTGGTAGGCTGAATAAATACCTTTGATTGTTGGATTCCTGGAACCTTTAATAAAGATATCATAATTCTTAACAACGGCGTGGTGTCCTCGATAGAAGAAAGCATCAAAACGAGTCTTCGAAAGAGGCTGTCAAATTGTGCCAACAGTCCGTTCCAGGTTGTTGCACCTGGACCCAGACCTGCTTCCAATGGCAGACAGTCCAAGTAGCACGCTATATTATATAGTATCACTGGCAGTCTTTCCGTTGGCAAAGATTTCTTTGCGTTTAAAGCCTGAAACGAAAATGATTACACTTCAGTTGCTTCATAAAGTTCCTCTGCGCCCAGCAAATGTGTTATGTTACCTCAAGTACTAGCTGCAAAGGTGCAATTGGATTTAGTTCGTTGAAATCGACCAGAGCTTGAGCAACGCTTTTAAAGAACTGCATCCTCGTAGACTCTGAACGATAAATGGTACAGACGGATTAGTGTCATTGGATGCTTGTCATATAGTTTTGACAGGAAAATTGAAGTCCATAGAATGTACCGTTCAAGTGCGTTTGGAACATCTGCATAAATACACCGTTAGGCGCCAATTGGTGAAGAACGCAACGGAGGAACTGATGCGCCACACTAATCGCGCCACCTGGAAGGTGCATGTTGGTCTCGCTTTGCCAAGGATACATTGCGTTTAAGGCCACTCTGCAGATATCCCAAAAAATAATATTAAAAAGAAAATGTCTGGACATCGTATCGTTTATGTAACAAAAAGTATGCCTGAATGAACTGTTCAACCGACTTTGTGATGACCCTCAGAATCTCTGGTAGAAGAGGCGCTGCTAAGGACGGCTCGCGATGAACAAATGTACCCAAGTTGATGATGCAAAGGCCGAGTTCTTCGTCAGAGTATTCTTCCTTTATCGTCCCACATTCCGAACACCTACAACGAATCCAAGTTACATTTGCATACGGAAAACAAACTCCTAGCGTTACAATCGCAACGCGAATACCTCTCGTAAATGCAATCGTCTCCAATACGAAACAAGCTCTGCTTCAGGTTGAAATCGGCATGATAGGCCTGTTGCGAGGCAGTGTCGAAATTGGGTTGCAATTGAGGACCCGGCCTGGAAATTGGTGAAAATAATAACAGATACTTTTCTCGAATTTTCCACAAAATTGTTGACCGTGCTTTAAAATCTCGTACCAAGATTCCGTGCGCCTCGTAATCGGTGTATCCTGTGCTTTGATAGCACCTTTCCGAGGCCTATCGCGCTGAATGCGTACGTGATCTTGTATCTTCGTCTTTCGATCATGGTCGAAGGAACGACAGGGATAATCTAAGGGATCCGGCATCGGAGGTGGTGATTCTAAAGCTACTTGCTTGATCAGTCTTCTTGGACTTGCCGACCTACTAGAGTGTACCTCGTTCGATGTTGGCACTAGCGATGCTGACTGAAACATCAAGTTATATAACGATTTTGATTGAATCAGTTCAGAATAGAAGTCTTTTGTTGTGGTCCAACACTTAAAAGGCTTAATTTCATTTCCACTAAGTTAGAAAGTGATTGTTCTGTAGATATGAAAAGCCAATGGAGTACCATGTTCTCGGAAGTTGTACTATCTTGCTTCACTGGCGCCAATCCGTCGCCTTTGTTTCCATTCCCATTCCCATTGATGAATTTATTAGAATCTGAAACGTGGAATAAGACATCAACTATCACCAAAAAGTTACAATTTTGTCGACTATGAAATAGCAAGCTTGATACCTTCGATTTCTTGGACACCAAGAGCTTGACGAACGTGTTCGACCAAGCCACTGAAGTCTCTATGCGGGCCAATGGGTAGAAGGCGTTCAGGCGTAGGGAATTCCAATTGAGACGTACTTCTGGGACTCGTGATGTCACTAGACATGCAGGTCTCGCTGTCCTGATCGAACGAGGAACCTAATAAACATGATCCCTCCGTCATTAAGATCCTACTCAAATCCGGTCGAATCATTTACTTATTTACTAGTCTCTCTGATTTTACTCATCACTCACTGACTGTCAAGACGTTCATCTTTGATAAAGGTGACTCTGGCGACCCACATGTGTCTTCGCAACGCAGGATACGTTGAGTGGGACGTGGTCCTACGACGTCAACATATTTGTATAGTCTGTCACGAATGATTGTATAATTCTTAGAAGGAATATAGTGCGTAGGATTGACTATACCCTTGATAAACTCACTATATTCCTTTTACAGAGTATAACATTCCAAAGTGTTTACCCGTAGGACGAGTCGTAGTGCCAATTGGTAGTAAACGCTCAACCGTCGGCGTTGTTAAGGGATGAGGGATGTCGTTCCAGCCGGTATGTTGGCCGTTTTCCGTGCTAGTGACTTGAGACGAGATCGGGCTGACCGCTGACGAACTCGACTGATCGCTACTGGTAACCGTCACCACTTGACTCGGAGACACCGGGGACGGCACAGTCACAGGTTGATCTATCCGTTTCTGTCTACCCAAGTGTTTGGAACTCGGCGAGTCCGAATTACTGGAGGTCGCGGTCGTTGGCTTCTCTTTTGGTGGCTCGTGTCTGCAACGTGGATACTTTTCACTCGCATATTCCACTCCTTCAGGATTTTAATTTAATTTTCAAGGCGTTACTTTTGAGCTTGAGACGTCCCAGTAGCAATAACAAGAGCAGTTTCGGTCAGGCCAAAAGGTTTGGATGACACCGCGTCTCCATTGAAAGCTACTTGCACAGTGACGCTCTTCTCCTGAATCGTTTTCTCCAACACTGGCTTCTCTGTTACCGCTTTCTCCAGAATCCCCTTTTCCGGGCCTCCTTTCTCCGGCACTAACTCAGAGAGAGCCCTTGCCACAGGGCTGTATTTTTGGAAATCTGGCTGTCCACCTAGAAACGAGCTCGTCACCATCATTTTTACTCCCTCGTGTACACTCCATTTCTTTTGGGGCCCAGCTTTCGTACTCTGCTTGATAAATAGCACCGATAAGCGTCAGATTATTGCAAAATAGTAGCAGTACAGTAATGCTCGGTTGAATGGCGTAGGATCTTTGGAGAATCTTATCAGTGAATCACAAAAATACTTGATAATTCAATCGCGCACTACTGTACGGACAACAGTAAAATTAAACAGGTACTTGATGAGAATCGTCTTCGCTTCCTAAGAACCAAGTAGGTCTGGAAACTACGTCCGTTTTCTTATTAGCGTTCTGGCTACTCCACTCCGATTTAGTCACTATGTCGATCGCGGTCGAAGTTCTCGGACCATGAAGAGACACGCTTCTAGTGACCGCAGCTGGGCTGTCCTCCAGTTCACCGAGCGACCCACCACTGCTGCCATGTAACGTGCTGTCAGATTTTGGGCTCTCGGGTATTGCAGCCAGCTCGGACTCCGTATCATCCGTATTGCTCGAGTAGCTTTGCAGAGCATTCACAATAGCGGAAATTATAACAAGCAGCTACTAATGTAAGCACAGGCACATGTGATGTACTCTCTGGGTCCTGGGTACTATCGATAAGATACTCTAAGATGATCTAACCTTGTACTATTTCGTGAATGCAACATTTAAAGATACACGATGGATCCGCTAGTCCATTATTTTCTTATTTTCGTTTATTGGTGTATGATACACTACTTCGTGACGACAGACAATCGACATTCTTGCTCTTTGGATCTGAGGTGGTGTTGTTGCAAACGTCTAAGAAGTTCTGGGGACTACTAGTCTAACTGTTGTACTATATGTTCCGTTAGATTATGATTTCAGATAGTCTAGGGCTGCTAGTATTGTTATTTCAGTATTGTTTTTTCTCAATATATTCTCAATGAGATTCTTCAGAAGTAGATTAATGAAATGTTCATGACAGTGCAGAATCCACGAATGTGTTGATGAGAAAAAACATTCCAAACTAAAGTAGCCTAATGCTCTACCGTCTCCAAGAGAATCTATATGGTATCATCTAAGATGCAGTGGTATAAGACACAGTGGTATAAATAAAATGACCTGGAATGCTTGTTTGTGTAACGACACGACGGTGTACTTTCTTCCCAGTGAGTCGCCATTTGACTGTGCGTGGCTCCCGGGCTACGTTGGTGCACCGAGACCATTGGTGTCCTTATTGGAGGACTCTCAGCGTTCATTTCTCCCATAGTGCTGGCCGCTAAGTCGTGGTCCACACCAAGGGACGGTTGAGATACGTCTGTCAGTGACAATAGTCGTTTTTTAAACAGTGTCACTCGTTGACGGTTCTTAATTTAATAAAATTATCGTGAAATTACCACGTGATCTGGAAGGTGGAGCACCCATGACCACCGTAGCCGGGATCCTCTTGCATTGATGATGCTGCATGTCAAGCGTGTTTAACACGATCTTGATTAAAACCTGTAGCTGACTGCACCACGGTTGTTGACCATACTGGCACTGAATAAATCATTGTGTTTATATACACGAATCGAGTACGATGAGGATCGTTTTAGAAGTCATCCATCTCACCTTGTAAAGTATCACGAGAAGAGACATCAACCAAGAACGCCTGTTCTGGGGTTCGAGGTACCAAAGGCTGTATGTTGGAGCTTGATGATCCGAAGAAGGTATACCTTGTGGGGGACAAGGGCAGTGTTGCAAGATGGCTAGAACTGGAGGCGTCATCACCCATCCCATTACGTGATTTTGGTCCAGGAGTTGAGGGAGGTTCGCGATGAATACATTAAAAACCGGCGACACTCTGGAACGAATCGTGGAATAATTTCAGTTACTAATTAGAAGCGTTTTACTCGACAAACGATCATCGATGAAGTTCCGTACCGTAGGCGTTGCGGAAAAGTGTGAAAAGTGCGTTCAGTTTGGTTGTACCCTAACAAAAGGTACAAGTGGCGCAGCACGATCCCTTGCGTCTTCGAGAGTGGCTTCTCGTCCGTTGGAAAAGCCTGAGTGTTCGACGTTTATGGTCAATACTGGTTTCTATCAATTTGATCGAAATTCATCATCGTACCTGATCCTGCCTGGAAAGAAACTGCATCAAAAGGAAAACCAATAAATGCATCGTTTCTTTATCTAGCTCTTCGAAATCGACGATTTTGTGGGTGCATCCTGGTAACGCGCTAGCCTCGTCGACCATGTTGAGCGAATGGATATGCCCATCTGTAATAGTCACTGACATTAAGGTGCATTCTCGTCCCATGGGAATTCGATCAAATGCAAAAATTCGTTCTACAAAATATTGTTGGAAAAAATTTGACAAAAGTTTTAATACGACTATGCGATAAAAAGATGAATTGTTAGTCGTGTTAAAAATAGAATCTTCTATTTCCCTTGCATTCATATTTCATTTAATTCATCGTTCATTGTCAACGACCATGCACAAGCATAGTGTTTAATCACTGACATCAAAATAATGATTGTGATCATTCATGATACCTGACAATAACAATCGAACTTATCTTACTACGTGCATTTACATTATAGTCAGATGAAAATCAACTGGACGATTAAAATCACTCAATAAATTCATGTTTACTCAGTTAGATAGAACTTCATATGTATCCACATAGTATCATTGCGATAACATTATCTTTGAACGACCAATTTCTTTTCATCAGATTACAACAATGTTTGCAGTATTTGCAATGCATAATTATGATGAAATCTACATATAAATTTGTACACACTATGTGCTATTTAAACGCGTTCATGCTGCAATCAACGCCAAGGTCTAGACTAGGTAGCAATAAATGGTATTGAAAAGAGGAGGAATAAAACTGATTCCAGCGTAACAAATTTACTTTGTCCTGAAATAAAACTTACTCGGTCATCAATAAATACTTATAGTGATACTCGAGTTCCAAACATTCTCCCAACTATGAGAGATCAACAATCTTTCGAGTCACTCGATAGGTATAGAATGGTAAAAGTAAAAGCTGTCTCGAAAGGCTGATCAACGATCAGACTTACCACATGTTCCACACCGAACACACACGTATCCTTTGACATCCTCAAAAATATGATCACAGATCGCGTATACAGAGGAGAGGAGGGAAACATTTACGTGTAACACATATGGAATGCGACGTCTAAGGCTACGGCAAACACTACTCTACCTGGTATACTGTTATTAGGTGGGGTGGACCCCAGCAACTGACCCAGTCCGAATCTGGAGCTCTTGCGCTTCAGCATAGGCGCCGAGTATTGCCGGCTGTACACCTTTTCCTTTTCTGCACGATGCAGGAAGTGGAACAAGTCAGAAACACGTCTACGATCAGGGTGTGAAGTAGTTTGATCATCGGTTTCGGACGACTGATTAGCGTTCATTGACTCTATAGCTACGTGGATCAGGCGTGAAAGTGTACGGGAACCATTAAAGAATCAGAATGCCTTGCGCGATACCGCAATTTAGGTATTTTTCGAAATTATGAATTTTCTTAGCTCGACCAATGCATCGAGGTACCTAGAATTTAAGAAATCTAGGAGTCATTCAATCGCCTGATTCTTTTATGGATCAAACTGTTACTAACAGTGCCTTCAGAGCTTGGTAGATCTACGATCTAGCCTGATATTACTTCTAGCTTAGGAATATAGCCTGTCTGTGATCTAATTGTAATTAGTTCTTCAGTTAACCGGATGAGTTAACCTTTCCTTTAAACTGCTATGGTTCGTGTGACCACATAATGATGGATATACCTGAGCACCTAGCGTGGAATGGATTACGTTACACTTTCCGTAGCTGTTATGTTTCTTCTACCTGGCTTGGTGTCCTGTCGAGAAATCATGGACGTGGGTGCAGGCATAGTGCGCTTATAGGGCCACTTGGCACCGAAACTTGCACTCAGCGTCTTTATCGGGTTGGTTCCGTTACCATCCGATTGCGACAAGGCTTCTTGGGCTCTGTGTAGCTTCTTCATAAAGATCTCGCTGCTCGTGTCCGTATTTCGAAGGTCTACGGAACAGTTTGTCCATTAGTGCCTTAGAAGTATCGATCGACAGCTACTCTCTAAGATTCTCTTTCTGAAGATAGTTTCGATCTCAATCGATATCAGAACTGACCGCGCAGGTAGGGTATATCTCCAGACCTTTCCAATTTGATCTGAGCTTCGAGGAAGAGGGCGTCGAAGCGATTCAAGAAAAACTCCCAGGTGAGAATGTGTCTGTCGCTGAGACTGTTGTGAAGTTGGTACAGCGATTGCAACACTATAGGCCGGTCCTCTATCTCCGTGTCGAATTGGGTCTCCAAGCAGAGGATCAGTGACTAAAAAATGATCGAACTCAGTGGAGGACGTTGACACGATTTCTCAAGAAATGCAAGGATCCGTGCGAATCTTACCCTCATAGCTGTGTCGTGAATGGTACCAAGATACAGGGTGGCTCTCTGAGCGACGTACACGTTACTGTCGTCCATGCTGGCGATCAGATAACAGAACGCGTTCGCCAGTGCAGCTTGCAAGGTCATCACGTTTCGCAGCGGAGTGGAATCCATGAATCTCGCGATCAGCGTGACCCTTTCGACTGTTGAGTATCAATGAATATAAAAATTCATCTTGGAAATGTTCTTTAATGGACCTGCTATAGTCTGTATAAAATTAAGCAGATCACTATCCCTACTACTTGGTTTCTATCATCATAGCACAAGAATGCTAACTAATGCTGCGTTGTATGTCTAAGAATGGCAATATAACTATCAATGTCTGCAATCTATTAACATTTCATCCTAAATCTGCTGGGCGGACACGTCGCCAAATTATTCTGCGAATCAGTTGGATGAATTCAAGTGGAATAAAATGTCAGCTCCGTACAAATATAGCGCTGATGCAAACATAGATGTCGTATTCTGGCATAATTCGTAGAAGAGGAAGTGGCCTTAATTTGGCGCATGGGCATTCGATGTCATGAACGTGATTTAATGAGCTTGTTTATCTTTGCAACTACGAAATGAATTGTATTGGCTCTTCGTACCTGCCACGAATCGAACACGCCAATCAGTGTTATGGAATTCTTCCTGGATCAGACACCAGAATGTACGGGTTCCGGATGGCAGCGTAATACAATGGAGCAATAATGGCACGGTAACTTGCGCAATATGCGAATGTTCAGCATTGAGGAGTTCCCACAGACTACAAGCACAAGGAAAATATCTCAAATAAATTGTCGTCCATGATTTATCAAAGTTTGCAGACCGAAGATTCAAGATTTTACTTCTTTATGAGTAGATTCTCCTGCCACCATATGAAGAATCCTTTGTAATCCTTCACCGCTATATTGAAGGCGTCGCCATAGAGGCACATCACGTTCAAACATTGAAGCATGTAGTAGAGTATGTCAGGCTTCTCGATCGTCATTATTTCCTGCACGAGAAAAGGAAAAAGATAAATTACATCGTTTCGGAATGAGACTCGTACCCCACCTTTAGCAGTTTGTGTATGTACTGCAATTGTTCAGGAAGATCCTCGATGTTGAACCTGAACTTCCCAACGGAGGTGTACAAGAAATCGTCCGTTTCGTTTTCCGGACTTAGGTTCACCGGCTGATCGTTCTCTCCGATTAGCCGCGGTTTCGCCACGTTCACCGTCGCGGTTGCTGAAACAAAGGTCCGGTATAATGAGTTTAGCCGCGGCGCTAAACTCGTTAGAGGCTGTTCTCTAATGCCTCGAAGTAGAACGAGTCCCTGCGTGGCCAGACGGCGGACGCGCGGTCTCACGCCGATCGATGGGCTTCTTTTATTCAAAGGTAGCAATTAATTCACCGAAGTAGAATAACTCCCTGTATGACCAGACACTGGACATAAGGGTTCAGACGATCGATAAGCTTCTTTCGTTTGAAATGCTACGAACAGGCTCTGATTAAGGGGTTTGCAATATTTGTCCTTCGAAAGTTCAACGTTTATAATTCAAAAGAATACGAGCGCGATGTCAAATATTCTCATTTGATTTTATCAGATGTTAGATGTACGATTATTTAATGGGAACATAAGTGTACTTACCAACGTCGGTCTCCGACAAAGTGACGGCTCTGGCGACGGCTGACGTGACCTTCTCCGTAGGCATGATGGCAGCGAGATCCAGTTGCTCCGAAACTGTCTCTACAGTGGCTGTCATGATCTGTCCGAAGAACTGATATAAACGATCAAAATAGCTAACCCTGGCCACATAGATTAGCCTACCGTGTCAGTGGTCACGCAACGCCATTTCGCAGTGGAAGAAGAAGAGACAGAGATAGGCACACACAGTTTAGACGAAGAGCATGCTACAGTTTGTTGTTGCATAGAAGTGTTTCGCACGGAAATAGGGAGACAGACGAGTGTGTCATTTCTTTTAGGCGGTGTAACATATCGCGTATACAGATTCCGATCATGTCAAGGACAACGTTCTAGGGACATACCTGCGGCATGTGGACGAGCACACCACCCACTGAGTGCATTTCCGTAGGCGGCATACTGATCACCACATCAGATTTCGAGTCGCCTTTCCTCGAAGCCTCCGGGCTCTTCCGACCGTGATCCTCCGCGGTTTCGTCCACGATTTTCTGATAATCATCCACAAATGTTAGAGTCGAAGCAGATCGTTTGTTAACCCCTTGCACTACGAGAATCTCTATTAACATGAATAATGTAATGTGACTTCTAAAAACAAACAAATTTATAAATACCTATAATTTAAATTTTATTCATATATTTCCCAATCTTGAATCGAGTCTACGTATTACGTTTGTCGCCATAGCCAGTGGAGCGCAAAGGGTTAAGTTTATCGAATACGATTATTTGAAAAATCAATGGTGGTGTTTCCGAAATAGTTCGAGACCTATGATTTGATACGTGACTCATTAAAAAAGGCGCGTCTCTACTTTTGGTTCTGTCCTCATTTAGACGCAAGATGTCACGGAGCTGAAAGTGCCAGAAACATCGCGTGAGCGTCGAACGCTGATTCAGTGATCTACTTGTTCGAACGCGCCGCGATCATGGTTATTTCAGGCCCGTGGCCTAACGAACTCACGTCAGGCGGGTAAGCTGGATTTTCCGGCGCCATGTACGTGACCAACTGCAGGCACAGTTGATGCCAGATCACTCTGGACTCGCAGTAAGTGCACTCGGCATCGTAACTGTCCGCGCTGCACACGTGACAGCTGTTCCAGTTCGAGGCGACGATGGACTTCATCAGGTGGCACGCGTCCCTGCACACCCACGTGTTGATCCCCGTGTGCTTGTCTATGTTCTGAAGCTCCATCTTCAACATTTCACACAACTCGGTGTCAATCTTTCGCGATGAGAATTTTCTATATCTTCTTATAAATTCTTTCTATAGTAAAAGTCTCTCTAGTTTTCTCAGGAACGGTAAATATAACATTGTTATCCGGTTCTTGGTTATTCGAGCTAGCTAACATCTTTCTTCAGAATTGTTTCGTCTCTACATTACAATTTTACAGTCTTCTACGTAATTTTACCTGCTTCAGTAGTATGTCCAGCATGAGTATGCAACAGGATAGGTTCAGTTCAGCGTTGGTTGTGAACTCCATGTGTCTAGGTGTCGGGACCATGTCGTCGGACAGTGGTGTTGATTTCCCCGACTCGTTTTCTACAACTGAACGCACACGTTTTTCGAAACTTCAGAGTAATTGTAAATCAATTATTTATTTTGTGCGTACATATAGCGTTTCCGTCCTCGTCCTCCTTCTTCGACCCCTTGCTGGGCTTCTGCTCGGACTCGGTGGTATTCATGGCACCCATGACGGCGACGCCGTCGCTGAACATCGAGAACAGTTGACAGAGAGGAATGCTGATCTCCAGCATGGTCAGTGTTTGCAACCAGTTCAGCGCCTGCTCTTGCACCTTCGCGCAGGTGTTGACGAACCGCTTCGCCACGAAGTTGTACATCTTTTTCGCGTCGAACCCTAGAGGGCTCATGTCTCTATCCAGGATTTTGCTGGAATTAGTAGTTGAAAATTGAAGCTTTCTTCGATCTCTATTTTTATCCAATCCAGATAAAATTTTATTCCATACCATAAAATCATCTTTAACTCGTGGAGCTCGTGTTCCGGGACATCGTTCACCATTGCTTCCATCCAATGTGGCATCACGTAGTCCCACACATCCGACGTGATCACTTCGTAGGGCACCAAACAGAACAGTCGATTCAGCCCATCTTTAAGATGCGACGTCCTCGAAGCCAGTGTTTCCCTAAATTACAATTAAGAATTTTCACGTTTCTAACATCAGAATTTCGGGTCGTCATTTTATCCGCGCATTGAAGTCACTCTGATCAGCGTTTTGAATAATATTAACGTTCATCGAAAATTGTCCTCATCGTCTACCCAAATTTGTTATTCTCTAGTGAATGTCGAGCTTTTAATCATAATTCGTACCAGTGGCCACCGACGCGAACATAGTCCGCCGGATGCGGCAGAAGACAGGAGATGAAGACCTCGTAGTGCGTCTTCATCACTTCCGCCAGCCAGCCGCAAACGTATTCGGTTTTCAACTTCTCCAGCGCGCTCTCCGCTTGCCCTGCGAAGTCCCCAGCCGAATCAGACCTCGTTCCCGCGAAGATTTTTGTTGGGAGGAACCGCGAATCCATTGACGCGCGTTCGAAATGAGCGGTGAGATTGAAATTCGTTGAAATGTTACGAGCGAATCGCGTGTTAAAGTAGATGAATTCGAAAACGCAATACAGTAGCGAATTTCGGGACACATCGAAAACAGAGGAACAATTTAACAATGTAAAAGCTGATTAAATCTGTGTTGGCTGTGTCACGTGGCATGCGAGAAGGTTCGTTAAAACTCGATTCGACGCAAGTGAAACGCGTTCAAACGGATTTTAGTATAATTCATCGATCCGAGGATTCTTCGTAAGGTCGTGTTGTTTAATTTTTCTATTCCCATTACGGGATCACTACTTCGATGCATAGAAACATCGTGGATCGTCAGCGTGAAAATAGAATTATTTTGCCACGAGATACGATTTGTCATTGGATAATAAAAGATCCACAGATTCTATGCATCGATGACTAGAGACTCGATCAGCCGCGACGCAGACGCACTCTTGTCCCTTCTCACTTGAGGTTCCCGTGACCAAAAAGAGCATTCAATTAAATACACAAACGCATATCGTTCCAGCGGTACTCGTGTGTATGTGGCATGCACACGCAGAGGCAACAGTTTTCTTCAAAATGTGTACGCGAGAACGCACAGGCGCCAACTAAGCAGACAAGGAAAGTCTTACTGTTCTATCATCGAATCGTATCTACGTTTACTCGAAAACTCACAGAAATCGAATCTCTAATATTACATGGTCGCTAAGAAATCGTTCTAAGTACTCGATACCGTAGAAAATTGAAATGATCATGACAGAATCTCTACTCACAAGAGAAGAACATTTCTAGATGCTTGCAACAACTACAACGATAGAAAGTTAAAGAACAAAAATAGAATAGAAACGATAAAGTAGGAAGCAGCGAAATAGATCAAAGAAAAGTTCAGTATCTCCAGAGCTGACGCCTCTGCGAAAAGAGTTGGGTACAGCGTGCCACGAGATGGGAAACATCGAATACACTTATTTACTGGTACGATTTACAGGGACACCAAAAACGGGGTCACAGAATTTTCAGAGACGAAAGATCGGGCAACACAGAAGCTATTTAGTCGAAACGTGTCGAACAGCAAAGGGTTAACAGTTAAGCTTGGAAAAACACCGACGTTACGAAAGCACGAACACGTATACATGAATGTTTACCCACAAGTCGTACAGAGAAGATTCGGTTTTTGTTTCTTTCGAAACCGCCATTTTGCCTTAAATTCACTTTAGCTGCCTGTATCTTTCCCGTTAGAGTTTTCAAAAATAATTAACTTAACGGTTAAGTTGCGTGAAAATATATAAAACATGGAACGAGATAAGGCAAAGTGACGAAAGAACAAAAACAATCAGCGTCTGCAAGGTGGCGTAAGAGTTGTTGGTCCACTCGAATGTGCCTACGATCGCGGCCAGAGACTACCTACGTCTAGTGATGGGCTCGAGAGGCTTCGAATCACTTTGAGCACAAGGACCAACCGCCACATATTAAGAACGATCAAGATATTCATTCGACTTTTTTAAATACTAAGACCTGTTTAGACTCGAAACGCAATTTGCATCACTGTTGTGCTCAAAAGTGTCCAAGAGAAACGCAGAGTATCGGCTGCCCATCACTACCTACGTCTTCTACGTCTACGTCATAAGTGTATATATGCGAAGTGTTAAATTACCAACAGAAAAGATAAGGTGCATAAGGCTTTTTTTAGTACCATCGAAAGAGTAGGCAGTAACATGAAACCAATGAAATAGCATTGACAATAAACGCCCGAGAATTTCGACCGAGGTATCCTGGTTCGGGTTGCAAAGCCCCACCAGCAGCCAGACACCGTATCTTCCAAGAAGCTGCCTCTCCTCCAGCGTCGACGGATCGTACTGTCCCCCACCACCGCTACCGGCGCCGCCCCCGCCACTAGCGCCACCACCGCTGCTGGCTCCGCCTCCTGGGAATCCTGTGCTGCCCTTATTAGTATTTATTTCCGAGATGTCTCGATTACTATCCATACTTAGCGGTTCAGCTTCCTTAAGCAGGCTGCAAGTAAAGAGGAACGCTTATGCGGATGATGCATGACACGATCTGCGGTCACGTCTGGCTGTGGTCGGCTCGGTGATGTGCAATTTTCGGTAGGCTAGTTTTTGGAAAATCTGATGGACTCTTGAGCTTTGATGGAATCGACATTCTCTGTGGCGCTTTCGCTTAAAATTGTCAGACGTTAGGAAAATTCGCGTTCGTTCGACTCAAGTTGCACGCGGAACATTTTATGGAAAAAGAGAGTAGATCGAAGAAATAAAGAGGCTAAGAGGATAATAGTTGCGTTTGGACAGAAAATATTGTCCGCTGGAGGTCACTTGGAAGCTATTCCCACCATCCACTGTCCCATTGCTCCGCCTCTCGAGTCTTAGCTCCGCCTCTCGGTGCTTTGCTCCGCCCCTGAATCACTTATTTGCAAATTTTAATGATGTAACACTGGATATCGTATTTAATACGATACGTACAAGTAGGGAGTGACCTCGAGCGACCAATATTTCCAATATTTAACGAGCAATTATTGCAACAGGGATAAATGAACTAGATTTCTTGTTATTTCATGCGTTTGCTAACAATTTTAAGCGATTCAAAAGATAAAAGGGCATCAAACGTCGAAGAGTCACAGCTTCCACGTTCAATAGTGATTTGAATTCCTTCAGGATCGAGTTCATCCTTCGTGAAACTTTAGGGATTCGTGGTGAATCGAGTAACGATGAGAGTCAATCGAGCATTTTGATCGTGAAAAAATTCATGAAAAATTACTTCCTGCGACAATGTCGATCAATGATTCAGGCATGTTTCTGGAAAAGATGACGGAGAACTGATCGGTCTAGTTCGACCACAACGTCTATCGGAGCAGACGCGACGTCAGATCGCGATCTTCTGGGATTTATATCGATAAATTTACAATGATGAAGATGTGATCTTTGAAAGTTGACGATAGACTAATAACCAATTAGTATTTCGAGTAACAGTAACTACAATTTATCAGGTTTCGTGTTCTAACTATTAAGGGGGTTCATGCCAATTACAATATTAAAACTACGTGAATGCAAATCGAAAATCATCTTGCAAAAGTATGGCTAAGAACAGGTAATAATTTATGATGTAAAAATCTTGCAGAAAATTGCATTTTGTCCTTTGTCTAAATCGAGAAAACAAAATTGTACTATCGAAGTGTTTTGAAACTCGACGTTCACTGTTCTTTGTGATTTCGAAATTATGTACAGAAGATAGAAGGAAATCGCGACAAGTTGATCACTGTTAACCAATTATCGATCGCGACAACGACGGTAAATAATAAAAATAGGTTCGAACGTTCCATTAAAATCGTGTTCATGTGCATGCAGCATACCAGTGTGTCTCAGGTAATGGGTATCTATTCAAGCCTGCACCAGTAGGTCTGTTTTTATTTGTGGAACGGTACCAGGAGCTGGTGTGTAGTATCCAGGACGTGCACGGTGTCCTCGGTAAGGCGCAATGCAACTTTTAAGGTGCACTTTTCCTATGCTCTACTGTGGGCGAATGCTTCAAAGTCACGTGTCTTACGCGGCCACTTGGACAGTCAGAGAAAAACTTGTCCGCGCTAAAACGACCAGCTTCGAGCGTCTGAGACTTCTTTGAACCGATTTTATTGTTCCACTCTCCAGACCTGCATCCTGACCAGTTTATAGGCATTGTAAATACATCCGCAGTACTAACCTATCGTTCTCTTTCAGCTAAACTTACATTTACTTCTTTCCAGAATTTCTAAATCGGTTAGTTCAATATTTGGGCTATCCCAGTCTCTATTTCCTAATAAGTTTATTATTCTACTTTTGAAAATGTTCGACTGTTCAGTTTATTAGTAGTACAAGTATCATCTTGTGGTAAGAATGTACTTACAACTTATTAGAATTTGAATCACAAGTCTCGTTCATAAGCTAATCAATTTGTCAAGAATTTTTTATCTGATCATCTGTAGTTTTACTGAAATTTAAGATGACCTTTTATCTGTAAAACGAGCTTCTAATTTTGCATTTGCAATGTCTTTGCTAACTTTTTCACACTACAGTCTCAGAATCTTCAGAAGCATGGCGGTTCTAGCGGCAACAGTTGATCGAGATACGCGTGCAGGATATATTAATTACAAAGAAAAAATCCACATGACTCACTGAAGTTGAAACATCGTCGCTTAAATTATTTGTAGCTGTGAAATCCTGCTCGCGATATCTCGTCCATTTTCGTGAGTATTCAAAAGACAAAATACCGAGCATTTGGTAACCACGTTTAGTGGAAGACGATCAACACTTACTGATGCTATCGCGAACACAGTTCTAGACTCTCTCAGACGTTTTCTGGACCCCCAATAAACGTGACTACAATGTCTTACCAAGCAGGATGGACCAGCACGAACAAACACGCAAAGCAACAATGATCCTGCGATCATTCGTTAGTACGCGTCATCGTGTTTTTTTTTCGAACAAATCGAGGGTTAAATATATCGTAGTTAGTGATTAACAACCATCGTTAGCGACCTGTGCCCGTGACGAATTGTTCCAATAGTTTCGTTAATCCATGAATACTTTAAGCGATGGGCATAATAATAAACTTCGCGTTAAAAAGTTATTAATTCGCTCTTTGATTCGCGCTTGTAAACATTCGATGGTCGCGATCTGCGGGTTGGTAAACACGAGCAGAACCAATCGAACTGCATCAACGTGCGTCACATTCGTTCGAGTCATCAAAAAAACTATCCTCTCGCAAAACGTACTTCGACATGGACGAAACGTCGGAGGGAAGAGACAAAACACTGATCCCAATGATTCGTTGTAGCATATTCCATTAACAGTATGATCTGGTAATAGCAATGGAACGTCTACACCGTATCTTGGATAAGAAAATATCAGCAAAATCTTTTGTTCGTCACTTTTTCAGCTCTGTATAGTATTTAATATACACTGCCAAACTATCGGGAAAAATAAGAAGAGGCGGAAGAGTTTCCCTGAACTCTATCTCGAGTTGATCCTTTCATAGACTAGTTTCCACCGAGTTCTCTTCCCTCCGCGTATGACATCGTCTCGTCAAACTCGTGCAAATCAGAACAACTGAGTGTTTCTTATCCAGTTTCCATTCTCCGTTCCCATTTCGCTCGAACGGTAAGCGGTACACGATTTCTCAGCAGACACAACAGAGGATGAAAAACAACCGACGTCTCTCACCTGACGATCGCCTGGACCATGTAGGTCTGAGTTTGAGAGTCCAGCTGCGAGATGTGAGGCAACGCCATGTGATACACGTGATCGCCGCCACGACGATTGTTGTGCCTGATGTTGTGACACTGCTGACAGTAGCGTATGGGGTGGTTGCCATTGTAGCTGGCGCATTCGGTCGAGAAGCAGACGCTGATCGCTGACTTGTCGGTGGCTCTGCAGTTCTACAATGTGGTCGAAGCTTGTTTAAAAATTTCAAACCTATCTCATCCCTCAAATTAGCTTCATTCTAGTTTTATAAAAACATTTCTCGATTCTTTGAGTCATTCTTGTTACGACTCTTCCAACTCGCCTTGTTCTCGCATATCATGGACACCTGTTGCATGGGGTGTAAAATATCGTAGAACATTTGATTCGGATGCTCCCTGTGGATCTCGTTCGCGCACTCGATGCAAAGATAGATCGGAGGCGGTGTTTCCGTCGCGAATGTGATGGATATTCGATGATCGTAGCAGACTTTTCCGGCTTCAGCGTTGCCAGCGTTAGGGCAGGAGTCTCTTTGACAGACGAAAGGCGTGAGATCGTCTGAAATTATATTCGAAGCGAACGGTGAGCCTCGTTCTTGCATTATGGCGAAGACTCGAGCGATCTTTGGAATACACGTACTCGCGAATTTCATTAAAACCGCTCTACGGTCGAAGAGATTCGGATTGAAAGATGGCCAGTAGTAGAAGAGCAATTTAGCAGCGGATGCTCTTGCTGGCGCAGTACCGTAAGCAACCACGCAGAGGATGTCTTTCACCACGCCAGGTTTCAGCGCCATCAGACACTCCAGCAGTTGGCAATGGTGCGCTGAAAAAGCATTCTATGAACTATCTAATAGACGATCTAACGATTTGAGAAGCTGTTGCAGTATTGCCTCGCTTCTTCTAGAGCCTCAGAAATTAACCTGGTTGACTCGATCAGATTGCAAAAAGAGAAGCAACACTGTGATTCTCAGTTGAAAAGTTGCTTATTTAAATTTTATACCTGGATTGCTGGAATACTGAAAGATCATCATGATCACGGCGGCTATGGACTGGCTAGCAGCGTTTTCCGACCCATCTTCGGTTTTCCTTGCTACAATATGAGGGATATATTGAATTTACGATCGTGTCAGAATTATTTCACGAATCGAGGAAACGGAACACTCACTGATACTGAACGGCAGGATGTAAAAACAGAGATAGTTGACGATCTCTTGGTGAAGTTCCACAGGAAGTACAGAGATCGCACTGGCTGCCAAGTATGGCACGTTGTCGATCAGATCGTGATCGAGGAAAGGCAGTAGACACGCGAGACATTGCAGAAGTGCCTGACCAAATGCTGAAAAATCAGTGTTTTAAATATTTTGTGATCGATTAAAAAAGGGGTAATGCTTGGAAAATATAATAAATAAATAGTAAAAATATAGTTCTTGCGAAAGAAAATAGGAATGAGCGAAGTAGAAGCAGCGATCCTCGTGGTCAGACCTTGCAAACCAATGTGAATGGAGGGAACGACGTCCATCAGCTGAGTCAGAGCGTTGTACAACTGCTTGTAATCCAAAGTGGGGTAAAGTGCCATTCGTTCTACATCGAATTTCTGCGCCCTGACCATTTCGAGGGGGGCTTCGCGAACTTCTTTCAGTAGAGCTGGAAATAAAAAACAAATCAAGTATCGATTCAACGTAGCGGAATTGAAGTTCTTACACAGTAATGTTTGGGAGAAAAATTTCACTGTATTTGCCATGTCGAAGCCAGAGGGTACAGGTTGACTGCCGTGAAGAAGTCGTTGATAATAGTCGTGAAGACTGGTCAACTTCAGCGAATCTGATGGAAGAACACACGTGTAAAAATCGAAGACCCTGATCATTCTACAATTTAATTGAATTAAATAAAACTGGTACATATTTTATCGTATACTTAGAACCTAAATGTTTTCAAGATTTTAAAGCTAAAAGTCTTAATCTTACAAGCACCTACAGGACAGATACTAATAAAAACACTCGGTTGCTCTTAAATTGCAATTATTTTTCTTCATATGACAATCAAAAAGAGTAAGAAAACATACTTACACGCTGCAAATCGGGTCCCCATCTTGCATAACTTTTATAAACTACAAACAGTAAAATTATTCTCGAAGTGTCACGATATTTGTCTCATAGTTTTGCTCAATCTTTATTATTACAATAACAATGTATCTGCACGGATGATAACAAAAACAAACGAATCACGTAACACCACTAATTCTCCGAAATGAAAATTAAAAAGAGCGAACCTGATACACTGCAAATCAAGTCCCCATCTTGTATAACTTTTATAAAGTACTAACAATACAATTATTCTCGAAGTGTCATGATATTTGTCTCATAATTCTGCTCAGGTGCCATGTACCTGCACAAATGGTAACAAAAATAAGCGAATCACTCAACACTAACAACCCTTTGTGTTTGGTTTATAATTTCGTCGACTTTTTGGTGACACTGTCGCGTCGATCGACGACACTGAACACGAGACTCTGCTTCTTGACATGTTTCGTCAAGTTGCAGAATCAGCACGGGTCCATCCCAGAAGACATGTAGGTGGAGAATGAGCGCGGGCGCCGTATCGACCTGTTTGGCAGCACTGTGCGCTCTCATCTTTTCATCCCCTTCCAGGATGAAACTCCGTTCCCGGGAAAATCCAAGAAGCGTTTTGCGCGAATTTCACCCACAAAAATGTTTTAAATCTTCGAACGAATTCTTCATAAAATGATTTGCTTGAATACACACTGAAGAAGTCATTTACGATATCGTAATCCAGATTAACCCTCCGTGACTTTAGAAGTTACATACTCCTTACCTACACCTCTGAAGTCTGAAATAATTACATCAAGAAATTTTATACTATAACTTGTATTCTATATAATTATACTTTTTCTCATTTCTTTTTTGTGTATTGAGATTGGATATAACAGTGGGATTATTTATTGGGACACATTTTTTTGTTAAATTTATTATGGGTAGTTTTCATGACAGTAGAATTAATGGAGTTATTTGGATTTTGATGTCCTCATTAATCAATTATAAACAGTAATATCTGAAAGGGTTGATTTTCCCTTAAAGTACAAAAAACTACTAAAAATCTACCACAATCTGTGCGTGTCACTTATCGATTGTCTGTTGTAAAATCGTGTACCAAATGTATTCTATGGTGAAAGAAAAAGCAGTTCTGAAAAGAGTCGTGTGTCACGTTGGGTTAGACATTTTAATCGATCGATTAAATTGGATACGATTATCGGTGCTGTTCATACAAGTAACATCGTTCGTCCAACGACGGAAAATCGTCTCAAGACACGTTACGCAAGAAGCTTCCTGCCAATTACGTAAGTTCGATCGCATGAGGTTCGACAATTATACGGTAACATCGTTATCCCTGATCCAATAAGTCGTAATTACGGTTTTAAGAGATTACCGTTCAGCGAAGAATTTATGATGGCGTCGCATTAGCGAATGAAAACCTTTTTATCAGTCGCAACGATTTTGGATGGTGTTTCGGCGATGTTGATAAGATAAAGTTGCAGCGTGCAGATTTATTCTATGCAAATACAGGGTATGCTTATGTTTTCGCACTTTGTCGGTAAAATTATGCGAGTTTTTTAATTCTTTAGGTATCTCGAAACTCTTATTTTTGTTCCTCGAATTTGATGATTTATATGCCTTTTAATTTCGAGGTTTGAAAATCTATTCTTCCTTCATTTTTCCTCTCCAATAAAATTAAAAAAAAGTGTATAAAGAAGATAGTGAAAGAAGTCTTGTTTTATATAGAGAGAAACAAGAATAGGGTACTCATCAATTTTTCAATCACGTCGAAGTAATCGTCGTTAGACTCAGAGTAAGGTCGATAACCAATCGAGATAGATCAATAAATGTAAAGAAAATTATATATAGAAGTATGTACAAAGACGCAATCTGCTATAAATACTTTTTATTGATACAAATCTAGAAATATAAGATCGTGTTGGTCTCAGTTTGTTCCAAGGCCCGAGAATTTATTATTTTCGTTTTAAAAATTACAGAATTTGTTTTTCCATCGTTTTCAAGGCCTGGTAATTTATTTTTCCTCGATGTTCAGAATTTTTTAATCGCCATCGTGGTATTCTTCGATCTGGCGTACGTCCAAAGGGCGTGCAGAATTGTGTTACAGATTTCGACCGGGCTTTCGTGCTAAACCACTGTCCACGGTGGGCAAAGTGTGTCACGTGGGGTCGATTCTAGGTCGACCTATGACGTGCAAAAGCAATCGATATTATCTAAATACGATGTACACCTGCAAACGGTGAAGTCACTCTCTGGAATACGTGCACCTTAAGTGAACGCGGATGCGGTTTCGATCGCGTCGAATCACCGTATTAAAATAATCCAGAACGAAACGGGAAGTCTCCCTTAAATAGACCTCGTGTTTCTTTCGTAAAGGCAAATTATCGATACGATTAAACGAATTGTACGTTTCTTACAAGGAAATATGCTTAGTCATAATTTCGTTCAAACACGAAACCATTTGTAGGGGATTAGAAAATATCAAACACGTATTTCTTTATTCTCGTATCGAATGGTTTAACGGGGTTGAAACGTCCTTTCAAAGTTTTACTCCAAAATATTTATAAATATATTGGATACTGACACAGAAATTCACCCACCTTTTCTCTGTTTTATTAAAGTGGGAAATGTGGACAGCAGTATGAGTATTACTATACATTACATTGCTTTGTACTTTGTAATATTTATCGATAAAAATTCCTGAAACGTTTCCAAGCGAATAGGTCGGAGTACCCAAAGGGATTGGAGCATAGGACTGCGTCTTCTCCTTGATAAAGGGGTAGGAATCGCGAGGGGTGTGAAGAGCCCCGGTCCGAAGGCAGGTGACCGGATCGATTCTTCTATCTCGCGCGCGCGCGCGTGCACACGTGTTCGTATACGAGATGCGTGACTGTGTGAACGATTACAGCATTGACGTAGACGCGTGTCCATGCGAAATCGCGTGTCGAAGAACCAACTCGGGAAAGCTGAACAGGGAAGCGTAAAATAAAAAAAAAAAATCGAGCGAGAGAAAGAGGGATACAAAAGTGGAAAGAATGGGGTAAAACATGGGAAGGGATGAGGACGATCGGGACGAAGAAATAAGTGATAATTATCGAAGCGAACGAAAAACATAGAGACACGTAAAAATAAACAATTTGGGAAGCAAAGTACGGAGAACTGACAAAAGTGTTCTAAGAATTACAAACTGAACAGAGGGTAGCAAAATATGGAAGAGAGAAAGAGAAGAGGAGATACATATTAACCTGACAAGGATAAATTAAAAATTTAATATAAAAGAATGAGAGTAGAATGTACAAGATGATCAAGACGAGGAGAAGAATGGTAGTTGAGGGTAGATAAGCAAAGAAAGGAAAAATAAAAAGATACGAGGGCAGTAAAGGTCGTCATATTTACAAAGATGGGTGAAAGACGAGCCGGAAGAATTCGAAACTAGGGGTTGGAACAGAGAAACACGAGAGGGAAAGGAAGAAGAAAGTAATAGTACAACGGCGAGAGGGTAGCAAAAGTGAGTGAGGGTGAGGGATGAAAGAGGGTAGTGGGTGGAGAGAGAGGGAGGAGGACTGAGTGAGTCGACGGATATACATGGAAAGCGGGGTTGCCTAGGACACCACATGGACGCCACGTTCGACTGCGACGTCACGAGGCTCGAAGGGGGGTTAAAGTCTCGCAACCCTCCGGGCATCGAGGTGTCTTAGAAAACAGTGCTCGCGGGGCAGGCCACGTTGGAAGTCATGCCGTGAACCTCGCGTCGCTCCGCGTCGATTTCTGCACCCCTTCGATCCCCGCACGGAAGGTACAGGAAACAGATCATCCCTTAAGCTAAACACGTAGATCGTAGTTCGCGCGACCAGTTCAAAGAGTGATTAAATTGTCCAAGATAACAATTCCGAGGCCTTCGAAAGTAGAGACTGCTACTTCTTGAAAGTTCGGAGCAGGTAACTACGAAACTTGAAGATTGTACGACGCGTCTCTGAGCAAATCTTTCGACTATGTAATTGGGTGTAATTTAGTTGTCAACGGAAAGTCGAAATAAATTAGTAAACGAAAGTTTCGAGTTTGTGAAAGTAATTGCGGTTTTACTGTCAGAAAGGTATTGGAGATAAATAATTTTGTTTTTCTCCCTGCGCTGGTTTCGTTGAATCTAATACAAATAAGAAGGCACGAAATTGCTCGAGGTGCTTTGATTTTACCCCAACGCGTCACCCATCGATAGTCAGAAGTTATTTAGGGTTTCGATTTCAATACGATTTGAAGTTAGAGGGATTCTTATAGTCGGTATCCTTTCTATTGTTAAACCCACTCACTGTGGGGGTCACGAAACCTCAATTACCTATTCCTGGTAGCCAATTCCTCCTTGTGAAAGTTTCCAGTCATCTTGATTCGTTGCTTCTTTGAAGTCCTTTTCACCAAGTGGAAATGTCTTTGTCGACTCGGGCTATTCTCCAACTATCCAATAGATTATATAATTCTACGATACCAAATGTTCCATATACAAGTCAGTGAAACTGGAGACTCGACGTAAGTTATATAATTATAGCAAATGTCAATATATGAAAATATTTTTTAATGTAAGTGTTGCGATTGGTTAAGCTGCTCAAGAATTGTGACATTATTCCAAGTAAAGGCTTGAGGGTCTAGTTCATTTTAATTTTCATGGCCATAAGAGGCGGATGGAAAGAAAGTTTCCATGATACTTTTTCTTTTATAGACAGTTGTTGAATACTTTCTGATATGAGATTTTTACAAATTCTACATAATTTTACTAAAGGAGTATTCCTTGATAAATTCCAGTTTTAAGAAAGTTTCGCACCACATACGTATTATTTAATTTATATTTGTTCCATTCGACTGGAAGTAAAGATTCCATAATTCTTTACGGTCGATGGAAAATCGTTTAAGATAGAAGCAACCGAATGATCGTTTATGCGCGCGTTCGTCGTCTCCGCGACTGATCTCGTAAATTGATTAACGCCACCCTCGACGGGATAGCCACGGTGCCTTTCGGTGGTCGGTGAGATAATAAAAAGCAAACAGATGAATCAACCTAGCGTACAAGGCCAATAGGCAGCGACCGGAGATCCTGGGGGGCTCGTGAGGGCGGCCATCCCCCTTTGTAGCCTTGTCAACGGGCATGACGAAGCTGCAAGGGTCCATGTGATTTGATTATGTTGGTAATATGGTCCGTATGCCACCCTAATTGCTGCGGTATACCCCCCACGACGCGATCTTTTCGCAACGATGACGTAGGAACTCGAGATTAAGATGGCGCGACAGTCACGGGGTCGAGAAAACCCCCTTTATTTATCATTCTAACGCTCAAATCGTTCAACGAACTAGTGAAACTATTAATATTAACTGACTCTTCCATTTGCAATATCCAATATCACATGTAATGGACTGTATAGGAAAAAATGGAAAAAGATTAGTGGCTTGAAAAGTGGTATTTGCAATATTACTATTACTTATAAGAGATGTTTAAGTCATCCACTTTACTCTGGTCTACATTAGAAATGGTTTTCACGTCCTCCTCTCCACTAGGGGCACTTGCCTCCTCTAGGGGTCACGCTCCCTACTTTGGAAAATACTGGTCTATTTTCCAAGACAACCCTCTTGTTTACCGTAGGAGTTGTGTCTGTACTAACACTTGAGGGTACAATGATTTGTGGATCAAGGTCGTCTGAAGGTCATACGTTACATTGAGATCACCTTGACATCAGTTATAATACCTTATAACTAACAATATACAATTTCTTTTAATCAATTAAGTATCAAATTGGTTTCGTAAAATTAATGTTTATTAAATAGGACACTAGTACACAATGCATTAAAAAATAGGCTTCTCGATTTTCCTAGACAAGATTGCTCGAGTTGATCGATTCGTAGATCAGACGTTGCGCAATTAATTAAATCGCATGCAGAACATTTTCTGCACGTTTCGATACATTCCATTTGCATCAACGTGCGCAGTCCAATAGTAAACGATATGGTCACCGCGGAACTAGAACGATTTAATTATTATGTTGCCTTCGGAGGGATAAACGAAGATGATGTCAGAATTATTGTTGGAACTGTGACGTCGGACTATTATGGTTAGAAGTTTCGAAGGCGATTGAAGGTCTTCCGTGACTGCCTGGTCATTAATATATTTAGCACTGTAGGTCAGTAACGATCTGAAAAATTCCTTTATCGCTCCAGTTTCAAACTGAACCGATTTAATAATCTTATAAACGATCATTTACTTCAAATCCTCTCCAGGAATTTACCGTTAACTCTTTTACAAGTTTTTATATCAAGCTAAAATTTATTCTTTTACTTAATCCCATTATTAGTACTTACAAAACTCCAAATATAATCTAAGTTATAGAAGGTTCATCAACCGAACAGAATCAGTTACTAATCAGTTCGTTTCAGTGTATAAAGTACTTTGGACATTTGAACTAAAGCTCCATACACGAACCAGCCCAGCTTTCAAACTTTGGTCAAACTTTTAACACGAGGTTGAGAACCAACGACCGAGGTTCACGAACTCCGTTTTGATCCCGAGAACCCGGGAATCCCAGGCTCGTGGTCAAAGCACAAGTGCCAGAAATTCGCTCGGTTGGGTTCGAATCCCCATTTTCAGGGCGGTAACTGTTCCTCCGCAAAAGCTTTTTGTCTAATCGAGCGCGAACGGGGGAAACCGTCCACGTATCGACGAGCACGCCACGCCACTCAATCAACCAGCCATCGCTGCATAATTCATCGACTGGGTTCGTTTGCGAATGGAAATTAGCGCGCGTTTCGTTCGCCGAGAGACGCCTTTCGATACGCCAACAGGAATAGATTCCTCGCAGTGTGTTGGTGAATGCGTGTCGTGGGCCCAGATGCGGGCCACAGATACGCGGAACACCTTAACCCATTAATCGTGGAATTCCACCCCTCGAAAAGAGCTATACAGCGGCTTACTGCTTGTAAACAGACAGATTTATCGAGGCTGTAGCTCGTAACTGCATTCGCTACTGCCTTGCTTTGGTTACAAATTTGGCTATTAAAAGCGAGAAAATTTAATACGTTCTAAACCAGTGCACCAAAATGAAACTTGCGTACTCTTAGGGGAGGAGTTTTATAATCCCAGGGGGGAGCACGAAATTTTTAATGTAAAGAAACGTGGATAATTCAAAGGGGGATTTTCATTAAGGACACGATTACATAGGTAATCGTTAGGGTTTTGGAATTTTTAAGTCTTCTGTCGGATTTGTTTTACCTGTCCAATTATCTAGATACAGATTTATTCGAATAATGCCTGACTTTGCTAGGCAACGGTCCAAATCGTTACGTTGTACATAGTTGTTGTATTAAATTATTAGATAGGAAGCGATAGGCAGGTTTTTTGGTACGTTTCCAATTGTCTCTGGCAGTCGCCTCGAGTCGAGGTTTCCGTTGTTCATTAAGACGGTAAATCATTAAACGCGAGGCAAGAAGTTCGCGTCGGTGACGCGGTAATAACAGTATTGGTAAATAATAGCCTGGTTGAACTGGCTGCGGCAATGTAGATAGCTAGTAATGCGGTAGTGGCACCGTTCCGTTGTAAAGTAGCCTTAAGGTGTGCTCACAGCGTCTGGTTACGTGAGCGTTCTCGCTCGATAGCGGGCAACAGTTTTGTCTTCGGTGCTCGCGGGAAACAACGCGTATTGATTCGTCTGGAATTATGCCCGACGTCGTTCGATATCGTTGTGCGACGATAAAAATATGCATCCCGATGGTAATCGCGATCACGGCTACGGCGGAATCGTTGATAGTAAAATAAGATGGAAATGTGAGTCACTAACGCGTATTTCGTGCTCCAATTTCCCGTTGGGAAATCTATCGACCAGCACTCGCGATCTTCTTATCGAAACATCGTTACGAAGTTAAAAATAACAGAAGCATATTTAAAACTAGCCTACTGAAAACATGGACATCAAGCATATGGCTACTAAATTGGGATTAAAAGTCAAAATTTTGAAGTTTTAATATCGTCGAAGTAACGATACTGGCTTATAGGGTTTCATAAAAGGAGCAAATAAGTTCCACATCGTTATCTTCCAAAACGAGTATTTACATCTGTAAATGAAGTTTTGCTCGCACGTTTCCATCTTCAGCGGCCATTGCTCTACGCGCATGGCCATCTTACCAATTCCGCGCGTTCGATATCGTCTGACGTTCGAATAAAGAATTGTACTCTCAGCCGTGAATATCCATTACACAAAAAAGCTTCGAAAGACTTTCCTGTCCTTATTACAGAGATTTCTAAGTCAATATTAATATTTCTCCTTACAAAATTCTTCCTTAATCTTCCTTAAAGATTTCTGAAACTGAACTTTTGTTCGGACCAAATGGAATTCAAATAAATTGAGTGTTACCGGACTCAAACTATTTCCAAGGGCGGATATTTATTTAGTACGGTAAATCGAGGAAGCAAAAAGACGCAGAACGGTGAAAAGACCGCCTGGGGAACGAAATTAATTATGCACGAGCTACTTTCGCGGCTGAAACGGGCGTTTAGACGGCCGCCTTCGAGCCTGTTCTGGTAGGCTGGTAGTGACAGTGATCCGGCGCGAGGCATGAAACAGTCTGAGTCCTTGCCGCAGCCTTGCGTTTTCTCCTTGAAGCTTGAATTCTATTTAAATACGCGGCATACTACGAAGCATAGTGGTGGGGGTACCGTAGAAGTCACGGTATTTCTATGTTCTTTCTGCGTTGCTCCCACGCCGTGGACAATATTTGCTAGCAGTGTCTCTTTCTCTCGATTCAACGACACCGTCACGGTGGCCAACAGGAAGCTCCGAAAGGTCGTCCGCGATTATCTTCGTGACAAGACACGATTTCAATCTTGATAACGAGTTTTATTATCAGACAGTTCCTTCCTGATTACTCCTCGTCCCTTTTTTGCGTCCGATTTGCAATATGTTTGTCCCGAGATTAGGAAACAATTATGCGGTATAATAATTTGGATCGTTGCTCGGTGGAAAATTAATTTTAATAATATCTACGTCCTATAAAAATTTCGAAACCACTGATTCAATCTTTATCACGCGAGTAATGGAACACGTTTGCATGAAAGCAAATAATATAATATCGAAGTGCATAATTGACGGGACGCAGCAAAAACGCTGTTATAAAACTGACGCGATCTTATTGACTATTTGCAAACCAGTTTTTCATATCTTGCAATGACTCATTATAATTCGTTATTTTGATAAGGGCACTGTATCTCAAATATTTTTAATGTGCCTGTAAGCTGGTCAGTTCCATAATTAAAATGGCTGTAACTCGAAAATCAGGTTCTCTCTTTTTTCTGTAAAATAGGTTTAATTTTCGTGAATAAATAAATAAATAAACCGTGTTACTTTTGTGTGCTAAACTCATATACGAAGCAGAGGTTGCCGCAACAGTGATTAGGGGTTAGTGTCCTTTGTGTTTGCAAGCTGGGTTCTCCTCGCACGCGCAATGATAATGACGATAATAGCACGTTGTTATTGCGTCACGAAAGTATATACACAGTTCGAAAGAATGTAAGTCAACGGAGAAAACGAGAGAACAAGTATAATTATGTTGCGAGGTATAGTTATCTTCTGCGTGGTTGTGTAAAGTTTTCCAAACTTTGTGCACTTTCATCTCCTGTAATTCTATACGCGAATATTTGAATCACCAAAGTGTCGAAATAAACAACGTAAGATCGATCGAAATATATTATTTCCGAAGTAACATTGTTCGAAATAATTATTTTTAAATTACTATTCGAAACTTTCACCCAATGTCTCAGATACGTATGTTCAACTAGAATCTTAAAGGAGCATTCTCGTGTTTCTTTTTTATTTTTTTTGTAAGGAATTAAAAGTTCTATTGTAGTAGACTTTTAGGGGCATGAAGGGAGATCTTTAAAGTATACCAAAATATTTTTTTAGTCCATCTTTATTATCTTTGATTAAATAGTAGTTATGTCTTTTAATCCCATCCGATGTTAACCATAGTCTTAAAGATAATTCGTTTCCACCAGTGCTGAACCTATTTTAAACAAAAAATATGGACAATTTAGGAAACTATAGCATTTTGAAGAAAACTATAACTTTTCAAAGTAAAAAAAAGCTAACTACTATTTAATAAAACATAATAAAAAATGGGCTAAAAAAATATTTTCGTATAGTTTAAGGGTCTTCCTTCGTGTCCTTGAAAGCGTAGTACAATAGAACTTTTAATTCTTTACGAAAAAAATAAACAAGGACACTTTATGGATGTTGGATGTTTAGCAACAATCGTGATAGGTTTGCGAGAACGTTGTTAATACGGTAGGAAAATTAGGGACAAAGAGACGTATCGTTCTGGTTCACCTTGGCGCGGAGCCCGTGGAGTTCCTGTTCCCTCTTCAAGGTCCTTCGGTGCCCGGTCGCCGTCGTCGTGAGTCAAAGGAGTCAACGCGCTCCCGGCAGCTGTCCCTCGTGTTTTTCCGTCGTCGATGTTATTCTTGCGCAAAATTGTCCGCCCGGGACATTGTTCGCGATGACCTGCCGCACTCTCATGGCCACGCGGGACTCGACGATCGGAAGATTAACTGCTTGGCTCGTTTCTTCAGGGTGACCGGAGGTTAAAGGGGTGGAGAAGGTTTTCTTTCTTCTCCTTCGGCTTCCCTTGGGACTTCGAGTCAGGGAAATTACTTTACGAGCCACTGGCGAGTCGCATACCTCTCTCAGTGAGCCATCGACCATTTCAAGTTTCTTGCAAATACATGAAAAGATAATCAAGGATAAAATTTTTCCATTTCAATTTGTCTCGTCTGTCCAGTACCCGCTGATTCTACTTATACTGAAATCCAAATCGCACACCATTGCATACATAATGAACTTGTCAAGTCGATTTCCTGATGAACGAATCCTCGAACGAGACAATATTATTCTTCGTTTTCTGTTTATTTATCCTTCGACCCAAAATTATACAGGATATTCAGTCACTTTTGGGAAAAATTTGAATGGGAGACTCTAGAGACCAAAATAAGGTGAAAATCAAGAATACCAATTTATTGATTGAGGCTTTGTTAAAAAGTTATTAACGTTTAAAGTTCCATAACGATTGGAAAATTTTTCGACGAAATTAAAAAATTTCAAATCATTCTGAAAAAATTATTTCTCGTTGCGGGGGTCAATTACAGTCATTTTTGGTGAATAGACATACCTTCGAATTCCTACGCACTTTCAAGAAAAAAATTCGAGTGCCTAAATTTTTCGGCGAAATTAAAAATTTTCAAATCATTCTGGAAAAATTATTTTTAGTTGCAGGGGTCAATTACAATCATTTCTAGTGAATACTCGTACCACTGAAATCTTACGCACTTTCGAGAAAAAAATTCCTTACCGAAAATACAATGTCTGACCAAAATATTCCCCTGAAAATCTTTAAAATATCATAACTCCTGAACGGATTGGACGATTTTAACGTTTCAAAATGCAAACTACGCATATTTTAGTGAAGAATATGTAGAAATGTTAAGAATATTCAAAAAGTTATTCCTTAACCCCGTAAAGTGAGAAAAACCTCATAAACAAGGTTCAATTTTCAAACGACTATAACTCCTATAATAGTGAATCTATTTTATTGAAATTTTAGGGGGAAGTAGAGCTCATGGGTATCTACAAAAAAGTACTAAACAACTTTTCCGTAGCTCCTCAAACAAATTTATTAAAAATGAAAAACTAATTTTTAAGGAAAATCAACAGGGGTAGGTGCCCAAAATTTTTCAGCGAAAATGAAAAGTTTCAAATCATTCTGAAAAAATTATTTTCAGTTGCGAGGCTCAATTACAATTATTTTTGGTGATTAGACATACCCCCGAAATCCTAGGCACTTTCGAGAAAAAAATTCATGTAGGTGGACAAATTTTATTAATAATTTTTAACAATAATTTTGTTAATAACTTTTTAACGAAGCTTCAATCAACAAATTGGTATTCTTGATTTTCGTCTTATTTTGGCCTCTAGAATCTCTCACTAAACTTTTTCTCAGAGGTGGCCGAACACCCTGTAAACGTACGTAGTCGTGTTTGCCCTTCTACGATGAAAAGGATAATATTATCGTAAATGCGCAACGACATTCCCAAAAATCGCAGCTGCGAAAATATTTCCATAATGAAAACAGCCGACGCGAAAACGTTCTTGGAAGTGACGGAAGTCGGTAGGTTCGGGATACTGCGTATCGGGTACGCAAAAAACGAGCTGCTGGAAGCCAGGTCCAGGGTTAATCCGTCGAGTATGGTGATTCTGGCGGACGATCGTTAATGGAAGGTCCGTCGTGATTTTAAAGACGCCTCGTCGCGGTCTCGACCTCCGGATTTTCCACTTCCCGGTACATACGTGATTCAGGCTCCGCGCGACGTAGCGTTCGCGAATCGGTAAACATCAACAACCGCTGCGCGCCGCGACGATCACGATTCGAGGAATCCGTCGAACCGCCGCATGATTCGCGATCGCGATTTCGAACGACACGTCGCTGGTGCCGTGAATAACAAGGATCCGTTTTCGTTTCAGATCGGGCTGACGAGATTTCAGCGCCACGAGCATCGTCGAGCTGGAATCATGTAGCTCCTACTGTTCGAAGCTGAACGGCGACTAGGACAGCCAAACTGGAGACTAACAAGATACCTGGAAAATGTCCGATCTCGACCTCCTGGTTAGAATTCAGGTTTGAGTGGAGTAATAATAATCTTCAGTGATCGGAATTGATAAAATTTATTTGTTCTTGGTTAAAATCGTACCATCCGAATACAATACTCGCTTCTCGCGTTCTATACGAAGCCCGTGGCTCGATTACCGTAGATCTTACTGTAGATCGTTTCAGGGCATCGACAGGCGCCAGTGAAAGGGCACAAAGCGAACGCTCTGAACGCGCATTAAAGTTAAAGTCACCGCGAGACGTGCCTACCTAAAATGGATTTCCCTCTGAAATACGTTCTCATGGTTGCCTTTTACAGATCCTCGATCAGCAGACTCGAGACCGACGGAGGCACAACGGACGTATCGGCCGGTTCTATCGAATAATAGCGGCGAGAAGGTCTGGCGTGATTTAACGAGGAGGTATGCCAGCGCGACCTCCGTGCTCGACTTCCCGGTACGTGAGTCAGGATCGCAGGAATCGGCAGCTACCACAAGGATGAGCGCTAAGATATCCCTGGCTGGGCCGTGCACGGCGCAGTCAGCGGTGAACCATCGTGGTAAACCATCGTCGGGGCTGTTGCTCGCCGGGACGTCCGTGAAGAGACCGTCGTCGATGAGTAAGTTCGCTCGCGAGAATCTTCTCGATCGAGTCCTCCGTTCTTCGCGCGGACTCTGCGTGTGTCATTAAATCCACGATCGAGGAAAACCGTGTCAGCAGAATATTCATTTGGTCTGCGTGGCTTTGTCGAGGATCCCACGTGTGGACGAAGAGTGATAGTGACAAATAGGGTGACGATTCGTATCGACACATTCAGAGACAACACAAGTGGCGAATATCATTATTTTACAATTGACTTGCCCTCTCACGTTAAATCACATCGAGACCATTCACTTCTAGAATTAATTTAAACGTAAAATCCTGTTTTCTTAGCGGTATTCTTTTAACCTCGTCAGGACCAAATTATTTTGTTTCTAATAAACAAAAATGCAAATTTGACATTATGATGTAATATTCAAAATAACTTAAATACTAGACGTACACATATGACTCAGTATCCCTGAAGAGGTTAAACTATCATAACTGGTGAACATGTTGATGGAAATTAAGATAATGTCTTTTAGTTGAATCATTCCAAACTTACTCGATGTTACATGTCTATAGTGTCACGGTTCAGGTCATTGAAGGATGCGTTGAAATGCAACAAAGGGTCTTCGTGCATTTCATAATTCATACCACAGATATTGTACAAGTTAGTGGCTATTTAGCCTCGAGCAGAATCTCGCTCCTCGTTGCACGAAGCGATGAAGATTATCAATATCAGAAGTCTCTTATCTCTATAATAGATGTAATAAATTCCCAACGTATACGACCTTTGCAATTTATAACGACCCGCCGATCGCGTTGGAAAAATTTGTCGATTACCTCACGAGACACTCTGTATGCATTGCCGTTAAAGTATTTAGTATTGGCGAGCTTGCATTACGGTCATCATAGCACGTCATCGTTTTATAATGCGTATCTCTGAACCGAGTCACTGATATTTAAAACAAACCAACTGCTTCAAAGTCTAGAAAATAGAGTCCAGGTTCAAAGGGTAATCAGAAGATCGCGAAACTAGGACGACAAGCGTTATCACCGGAGGCAGAAGCGCGTGCAAACACCGACGTCCCCGTATCGCTGATTTCCATCGCGGTTAACGCTGACAGTGAACAGCAGGACGATGAATAATCAATCGACATGGGCCGCGTGACCAACCATTGTGCCATAACACCCGAATAGGAATTCCAAATCGCAGAAACGTTTATGCAACTGCGACCTGGAATAATTTCCGATCGTCTCATTGTTCGGGAACGGAACATCTGCTTCTCACGTGCAACGTAGGCCTCAATGCCGATCCAACTTCGCGTCGTGTGGATCTCGTCTCGAGGTCGTTACCTCGCCGAAAATACGCGAAACCGTTCGTTTCACGGGTTTCGGTTCAACGGAGTCGCGCCCGATCGTCGAATAAGCAACTGCTGACTTTGAAACGGAAGTTGGGCCACCGCATTCCTCCGCATTTGCAGCGTAAGCAACGTTAAAATTTTTACGAGCTATCGTTCGAGTTATGAAACGAAGTCGAAGAAAAAATATCGAGGAAAAGGATAGGGACAAATAGGAGAATCGTTCTGTGTCTGAGTGGTAAAAGCATTTCGGCGGATGACACATTCCAAGGAACAATAGCGACACGAGATATTCCATCAATCCCTTTTCCCATGCTTCCCCGCGAAGATGATTCCTTGGCAGGCGAGACAAATTCGAGGAAAGGAAGACCTCGCGTCTTCGAGATCATTTTGGGATTCTTGGACAGCCTCGCGCCACGTGCATCTGACAATGGTTTGTTACAATAATCAGTGGCAGGCTGATGTCCAAGAATCTTGAGACAATACCGAAGAACGAGAATTGGAAACTTGCCCTACAGACACATTCAAATCTCTTTCAAATCTCATTCGCTCTAAAGTGATACAACAAATGTTCATTTATTTGTGATACTTTTATTCTCAAGCTACACTAAAACTGTTTATTCCTTCCAAAGTCTACAGACCTCATAGATAGATTTCTTCTTAACATTAGAACTACCGAACTGGTAAAAATGACTCATTCCTAATTTTTAATCAAAATTTTTGCAAATATACCTTGGTTCTATAAGAAAATAAATAAACATTTATTTCCGTTGCATTATACTTTTCTTCGAGTATCTATCGTTTTAATTTCTTTGGTACAAATAAATACACCATAACTGTCGGTAGTTCTAATGTTAAATATTAGATATCGTACAAATTCATATTTTTATTAATAGAATTAATGAAATGGGAGCTTCGAAGAGGGTTGCTTCAACCCCTAAATACAATAATCATATTCTTCGAAGGCATCGTTGTGTCTTGTACAGAGTATTATAATATTAGTATAGTATTTTCGAATTTGGTACAAGTCCCACTCGATTTTTCACCTGGCCACCTTTCTGAAAACAGTCGTGGCGTCACATTATCGCGTAAAATTTTGCAATTCGTTGGGCAAATGACACACAATGAGCCGCGATTTAATGACACACCGTACACGTCACGAGATTACAGGCGTCAACGAAGGATACGTTCATTAGCCGTAGAGGTGACTGGCACCGAGGAAAGAGCAGTCAAACGAGCCACTGTTCCAGAACTGGAAGCATCGTCCAACTCGTCGCGACCGAACACGTTGTCGGAGAGAGAGAGCACAATGCCAGCCTTAGCGCGTGCCTGCACTACTGCCACTCTGCCAAGGATCAAGAGATTCAAATTCGCGTCGATCGGTGAGTGCGTTATCTTCCTGTGCCCCCCTTTCCGTTGCTGGATCCGTTCTCTGGAGAATTTTCTGTCGCGGTGCATTCTCGTTTGCGTTTCGATAAAGTTATTTGCTGGAGTAAGATTCTGTCGGGGATTACCGTTGTTTATACAGATACGGACTCACGCAAACGCCCGGGAGACGAATCTGCGTGCAATAATACTGCAAAAACGAGCGATAAAATTTCTTTGTACGAGACATCGTATTCGGGAAAATTGAATTTGAATATCACGAAAGAAAAATTTGATTTAGATTTATTAAACTCCGTGTATATTAGCGAAATAACGGACGCCAGTTCTTCGAACGTTGCGATCACGATGTCGTGTGTTTCTTTTCCCTATCGATGACAATTCATACGCTTGATCGTAGATCACGCCGCTTGCGTCAACGAGCGATTATCAATTTATCGATGATGTTGTTCAAGGAGACAACGTATCACATATGGAGTATGCGTACATTTGTCTTCCATGAAAGTAGCACATCAATATTTACGTTCAGCGAAGTCGATGTTTCGTCATTTCTATTGACGGTTTTTCGTATCGATTGTGTTTTCGTTTCTATTAGTTTCAATAACAATATCTACGTTTCGAGTATCGATAAGTCTCGAAGAGGCTGATTATTAAATCAGATTAACGCCCGAATATTTTATAGGTTGCTACGAACGGACTTTTGAGTGTTCCCAAAGTGAAAGATTGAATTTTAATATTTAAATAATAACGCATCGTACCTATTGCAATACATTACTCGACTATTATGAATATCTAGATCAAGGAATCGAACAAATTTGTTGACTATTCGAATGCATAAAAGTTGACGAGCTATCTCGCTCTAACTTTAACACTAGCATATTTTTATAGTAATTCGATGCGTTGACAGTTACATTAAAACGCAGCTTTTATTTTAATTAGAGTATACAGGGTGCTCGGCTACCACTGGGAAAAATTTTAATGAAAAATTCTAGAGATCAAAATAAGACGAAAATCAAGAATACCAATTTGTTGATTGAGGCTTCGTAAAAAAGTTATTAACGTTTAAAGTAGTAGTCTGTAGCAGTGGTTCTCACTCAATATAAGAAACTCTACTCACTGACGTATCGACAGTCTCACAGTTTTCTAAGTGAGAACCACTAGCAGCTGTTCGTAGATTGCCGTTCTACAGGCGGAACTTTAAACGTTAATAACTTTTTAACGAAGCCTCGATCAACAAATTGATATTCTTGATTTTCGTCTTATTTTGGTCTCTAAAATCTCCCATTCAAATTTTTCCTAGGAGTGGCGGAACACTCTGTATAGTTATATTATTGCATTAATTAAATTCAACATAAATTGCCAAAAAATAATATTTATGAGTTCTGTAACGATAGGTTTAGTATCTGAACGCGTCAAATTGTTAGTGTTAACATCGTATCGTATCGATACGGCGCGTCGATCGGTAACGGGCCCGCTATCGGCCGTATTCGCGAACCATCGATCGGACGCTTGTCGTAATGAAACTCGGACGCGGCTCGAATACGTAATTACCGCGGAAATAGTATTACGAGCGGGTCTGGTCAACGGCATAAATATAAATACCGGCGGTCGACGGTTGGGTAAGTAAGCCGAGCCACCGTCGCGCGACACGCAGAATCGGTGAGTCAACTTGTGTGTGACGCCACTCCAGTTCGAGAACCACTTTCTATCTGCCCAGGCGCTCGCAGACACGGCATTCCGCTGTCTTTCGTATCGATGGCTCCCGCCCGTCACTTTCCGCTGGAAAAAAGAAGCGATTCTCGCGGAAAAAGTGCAACCGCGCCGGGCAGATTTCGCGACAACGGCGAACGATGAGTTGGCTCGACGATTTTTCGGAGCGATCGTATCGCGATTAAGCAACCTGGGCTCGAAGAGTCGAGCGTGTAACTTTGGACTCCTATTGCCGCAATATTTTGTAATACCTTGCAGGAACTCGAGCGATTATTAAATTAATTAATTGGAAGAATTCAGTGTTCCAAAATGGCAGGTACTTGGTACCACTGTCAACGCAAATACTGATGGATTACTTGAATATCGTTATAGTAGTTCTATAGTTAGACATTAGTTTTTCTGTGTCAAGCGAACTGTACATATTTATTTGTTTCAGTGTTTCATTGACCCCCTTTCAGAGTCTATAAACTGCAATTATAACTTAATCGTGCAATTTCTTTAACCCCTTACCGTACAATAACGAGTCTGACTCGTTAGAAGTTCTTGATGTCAAGTTTCACATTCATAAGTCTACACACTCGTCATCAAGTTTTATACAGGGTGTTCGGCCACTCCTAGGAAAAATTTTAATGGGAGATTCTAGAAGCCAAAGTAAGAAGAGAATTAAGAATATCAATTTCTTGATTGGGACTTCCTTATAAAGTTATTAAAAAATTTCAAATCATACTGAAAAAATTATTTTTAGTCGCGGGAGTCAATTACAAGCATTTTTTGTGAATAAACAAACCCCCGAAATCCTACGCACTTTCGAGAAAAAAATTTAGGAAGGTGGATAAAGTCGACAAAATTAAAAACTTTCAAATCGTTCTAGAAAAATTATTTGTAGTTGCAGGGATCAATTACAATCATTTTTGGTCAATAAGCATACCCCCGAAATCCTACGCACTTTCGAGAAAAAAATTCTTTAAACGTTAAACGAACTTTAAACGTTAATAACATTTTAACGAAGCCTGCATCAACAAATTGCTATTCTCGATTTTCGTCTTATTTTGGCCTCTAGAATCTCTCATTAAAATTTTTCCATAGGTGACCGAACACCCTGTATATTAAAATCAATTTTTACATTCACGAGATATTCGTAGAACAAATTGATTCTTTTTCGTGGCCATTCCTTGTACGAACATATCTAAACAAAATTAAAATACGTTCGAAAAATTATTTGGAATTAAATCATACGTCAAGGGGTTAAAAATAATAATCTCTGTTAGTAGAATCATGGCGATTGTTCGTCGTGATTTCGCGAATCTGCCTTTTATCTGCCACACTTCGTGACGTCAGATTGATAGCACAAAGACATATGTTTACACGCAAGCGCGGCTGTGTACCGCGCGTTATCAATATAGCAGCAAGTGTTACGAACTACCATAAGCCTTGAGCATCTGAGCCTGTGTAAATCGCAATCGCTTGATATACGCGACAAACAAGAAGAGAACTCGAGGCTGTCGTGAAATTGAGAAAATCACAGCGCTCCTCTCGCCTCGGAGTTAATTTTATTCGTGATAAAGTGTCACTTTCGTCGAATACGGCGCCATAATATTTATAGGATCAAGGGCGGCGGAAAGAAAATTGTTCTCTACGATAGAAGTTGATTGGCTATCCTTGGCCAAGTTTACTTTGACTCGACACTTTCGACGTCTCAATTAATTCACGAGCGATCAGTAGAGAAGATTTCTTGTTTTTGTAGAATCGAGATCGAAGAGAAGATTCTGTTAGATATAGGCTAGAAAAAAAGCTCTTATACTTTAACGCGCCATTCGACTATAATTGCAGTTAACTCTATAGGAAACTAATCAATTCTTTAAGAAAGTATAGCATCGTTGATGCTTTATTCGATTCCGATGTAGCTAACGTTTCATTCGAAGCCAATCAATGTTTAAATTAAACTTGGTACCCTTCACATAATGGGAAACTCAGTAATAACTAATTTACTCCATCCAAAAGTAATTTGTAACAGAATGATTTTCGTTCGTTACTTTCGATTTCTTCTTTTTCATTACAGTACAATAGCGTCTGTTGTGCGCCAATTTTAATATTTTGATGGATATTTCACGCTAATTATTCTCACCTTTTATTATCCAGCTGAAAGGTAACTTGACTTAGTCATAACAAAGTTCGACACAACATCACACGGTTCTGATTATCCATCAATTCGCATGTTTTCTCGAAAAATGCCTGTCTCGCGACAGAATCTTTCGACCACCTCCGACCGCCATTTTCACTGGAAGTACATATTTACACAGTGCCTCATCCAGACGAAAAACAACCTAACTCGGGTATAATCAAATTGGAAACAACATTGCAAGGTTGTGATTATCCTCAAAGTAGCATTCTTTCCATAGAGTGTGATTTTTAACTAATAATATAGTAAACTAATTTCTTTTTAGTACACTAATAAATCTAAAACTTTTATTCATTCCCAACCCTGCCTATTGTTCGTGTCTCCGTCCGCTCTTTTCGCCATTTTGGCAGCCCCTCGCGAATCATTCTCATTTCTCATCCGACTTGAAAATAACATAACTCAGGCGTAACAATGTGCGAAACTGCGCCACAAAATTTCGATTATCGCTCGACGCGCGTATTTTCTCGAAATTACGCCTGTCTCGCGACAAAATCGTTGGACCGTCTCTGCCTCTGACCGCCATTTTCGCTATTTTGGCGGAGATCATGCGCTCGCGATCGTCGGCGCGTTGGCCGGGTGCATTGGAAGATGTCAATTGAGACAGTTCTAACAGGCAACGTAAACCTTCCGTGTGCGGAGGCATCGTGCAAGCATGTTTATCGCTCGTTCGACCCGAGTGATGCTTCTGTGTATGATGTCAGAGTCTATCTTTGGCGCGGAGTGGATGACCACGCGCTAGCGAGCTCCGCGCATCTGCGCACACGCGTGGAAATCTTTAGTGAAATTCGACTTGTACGATTTGAATTGGGCAACCCACCGAAGAGGAAAAAAGGAAAGTGCGTTTTAAACGCTATTTGCCTCGTTTCCAATCGCATAAACGGTTACAATTAAAACAGTTTAACGGCGAAAAATAAAAAACAAACAAAAGTGACGAGAAGTTTCTTAAAAGCGGGAGTTTCGAATCGATAGTATTTTCTTGCGTTTAAACATTTTTATATATTTTTTATTTTAAAATACGAACGAGTACAAGTGTTCTATGAATATATTGTGAGATGCTTCGCTCTCCGTCACAAACTGAAAAGCACTTTTGGCTTATGACACGTTGAAATC